GGTACGCTGGTATAAAAAGAGCCAGGTAGTGCACATTTCTCGCATTTCAACACATGTTGCTTTCAGACACACACCACAACTTTGCCTTCTGAAGTTTTGCCTCAGAGTGACACCTATCGGAATCCCGACATCGAGCCATGAGCGAAGCATCTCTTCCGACCAACACAGTGACTACAGATTCGCCACCCGTCGATGAGTCACGACGTGAAGCTCTCTCCGCGGCCCTCATGGAGATTTTGACACAGCATCGGGACTATGATTCCGAAACTGGAAGTGAACCTTCCACATTCAGTGACGAGGCTCTACGCGACCAATTAGCTGAGTTTATTCTGCAAACAACCCGGCAGATCACAGAGCTAAAGCAACGAGTGGAAAGACTCGAAGCTTCGCAACAATAGGTGATCAACCATGTTCATACCACCATCGGGTGCTTCGCAGAGGACGGTAAAAACAACGATTGTCGTTGTTGCCAACTGTGACAGTCACTGCACTCACTTCACATATGTTTGGCATGCAGCGATTGATGCACTTTTTCCCGCAGCATTTTGCAAAACAACCAGTTGTGTTAGCACCATGGAACAACGCACCAGATCGCGATCTCCCACGGCATCACAATGGAGATGGCATTGGGCCACTAACGGCTCTTCATGGTGGCGGGAGTACTTTATCGCATCTCAAGAGTGGATACGAAAGCATGCGGAGCAACCTGATCAGCGTCCGACATCAACGCCTCCGACCCAAAAGGAGACAGTATCTACTACATCAACTCCTACATCCAACAAGAGAAAGCGGTCAAGAACTCCGTGAGCAACATTGCTGAGTTGACAATTAGATGCACATTTGCTGCCCCTGGCAGCCAACAACCACACAGCAAAGCTGTGCTGCGAACTCCATCATCCCTGATGAGGTTCAACATTAAGAGCACCATATTGAAAGGTCATGCCGGTCGGTGAGGTTGCTCAAGTGATGTATCTTTGTACATCTCTCTCTCTCTCTCTTCTGAAGATCAGCGTATGCACACGCCTTAATGCAGTTGTGACTCCGCAGCCATTTCTCAGAACTACAGTTGTTGAAACATATTTAGGATCGCACACAGATGGACGAGGACGACGACAGCAGCCTATGGGGATCCGAAGAGATTGATGCCTTCCTGAGGAAGGATGACACCACCACATCCTCCCATGCAGTCAGTCACACACACAAGCAAAAAACAAAGCACACAACGAAGACAAAAAAGAAGAAAGACAACAAAGACAAAAAGGACAAAACAGTCATGAAAACAAAGAAAACACGCAACATCTCACCAGCATCCCAATCCACAACACAGCAACGACGCCAACATCCACATACTACAAGACGAAAGAGGACACACTCTTCGCACTCAACATCATCAGCGTCACCTACGGCAACTTCACACATGGCTGAGGACGCACACCGATCTCCATCGCGAGATCCTTGGTCTTCTGACTCGATTGCACCTTACGATATTGTGCATCCTACTATTCAGCATAAGCGGTCCAAAACCGCTTGTGCAAAAATGCTGGTACGTGCAGGTTTTAGATGTAGATGCCATTTCAAGATCATGAGTGACTGTCCCAACAAACTCGCTGTTGGATCCTAATACTCAGGACGGATTAGGGCTGCAAGATCCGCTAAACGTGACAAAAAAGCCTGCGCATGCGAGTGTCAGCACGACACCACTTGGTTGTTTCTCCTGAGCACACAGCATATCCATGTTGTTTTGCATTCCTTGTTCAAGCGTTTGTCGGTTGGTAGCAGCAAAAATATGACAAAGAGAAAGGCTGCCGAGGCCGGCCTTCCATGGTACTCTATGGCAGGACAATGTTTTCGGATGACTGTTGAAATTCCACCCGACCGCATCACCAGAGACAAGCACATGCTCTTACACGTGGTGCTTTGTCTGGGTGACAACGTTCTACAAGCTCGCAAGATCTTCTCCTACCGCATCAAGGAGATCACCGGCAGAACTCCTAAAATCCCAGCTTTCTTCTTCGAACAAAACCGTCGACGACTACATGATTGGGATTCAGTCACCACATTAGCCACGTTGAAGCCGGTGCTTTTTGTTAGAACCTGTTCGGATCAGGAAATACGACAATCACCCGATCGCTAGTGACAGCGAGAAAAGTGCGCCATTCACTCCTTTTGCCACGCATCAGACCTTTCACTCTACTTGAAGCATGTACGCCCCATTGGGGCTGTGTGTGTGTGAACCTCCCTAGCACATGGGAGCAGAGGGTCACTCCTACACTGTTTGCAATCTTTGCTTTTCAACTCAATCAGACATTAGACATTTACCAAATCAACTGTTGCAGGGGGACACAGCATGTCACTGGGACTGTGTCCAACGAAGCTACCAGTGACATGGGAGGAGAGGACTGATCATCCTCTTGTACCTGCATGGCAGCCCCCTGTGGTGCCAAGATTAGTCTGAGGACAGGCCCCCTGTGGTGTCCAGATTAGACAAACAATTTTTGTACGGTTGCCGCAATCTGACAAACTTTTACAACATGAACAACATGCCTCTCTTTTTCCTCTTGCACTCGTACTTTTGGCCGAATCCATCAGTGTGTTGCATTCTGATCTCCTTCGACTGCAGTGCAAAGCTGCGCAGGCTTGGGTCCCTCTTCGTGACCCTCGGCCGTGCAGAAGGCAAGCGATGCGATCACAACGTAGAGTTTTCAGCTGGGAGCAATCGCAGGCAAGTGCAGCCATTGTGGGAGTGTGCGTGTTAATGTCAACAGTGTCAGCTACAGAAGTACACGTTAGAGAATCTATCCGTCGGGACAGCGCCTTCAGGTCCACGTCGGTTGCTGCTGGGAGCAGTGGGCAGTTTGCTAGGCCTGGACTGTGGTTTTCACAGATGGATAAAATTGGAATCATAACTCGGAATCAACTGTTGTGACCGCCGTAGTTGGCGTCAGTCGTCGTCTTGTAATGCTGCTCTACGACCCAAAGCTTGTGGTTGAGGTGTAAGGCCGGTGTTTATGCGCGAGTCGGCACCCGCGATTCGAGCACGTCGATGCAAGCAGCAGTAATTCAAGCACCCCACTTGCTTTGGCTCGTGCACCGCCGATTCAAGCAGCAACCAGATTCAGGGACACGCGCGCTGTTCAGCCACGAGTCAATGACCCTTCGGGTTTGGTTTCGGGTTACTCTGGGGGATCTAGGGATAGGTATTGAGGGTTCGGAGTATCTCAGGCTCGGAAGAGCCAAGTATTTGAAGTTCTAGGTTCCGGGCTTCAGAGTCTTAAGCTTTGAGATTCGGGATAGCATTGATAGAGCATTCGGGTTTGAGGGTTTAGGTTTGCTTGGTATCTCAACATTAGTCCTGAAGTCATATTGAACACCATAATTGCAGAGCTTGCCTCTTTCCGCTTTATGCCTTTAAAACCTTAGGTTTCTTTGAGAGCTTGAGAAACCGCATTTAGCATTGTTCGCACTTCATGTCTCTTGAAGGCTTATCATAGACCGGGCTCATTTCCGATTATATCTCAAGGTAGGGTGGGAGGGAGGGAAAGTGCTTGACCTCCTGCGAAACTTATGAATCTGCCGAATCTGCCCTTATCAAAGGATGCACGCATCGGACTGCACATGTGACGTGGGGCTTTGACTCTTCTGGATCCCCGGTGAGGCTGTGCCAACAATCCAGGAGTATGAAGACATCTTCGAGCCGAGTTATTGTCATCGATGATGTGAGTAGTCTACCATCCAGCTAGAAGGCCTCGTTTTCTCAGCCCGCTCCGCGAATCTTTGTTCTAGTGCACGCTTGGTTCTTCCAGCGCGCAAATCGGTTTATTGCCTTAACCCTGCACACAAAACGTCTCTGGGCTGCAAAACGAATGCTTGTTTGTTGTCATCGGTGTTGTGATCATCTTTGGCTCATGTGAAGTCGTTTGTGGCCGCAGGTTTTTCCCGCCAGTCTGCGCAGGCTTCGATCTTATCGTCCTTTTCTCGTAACAAGCTTTGGCTGTGACCAATGGAGGCGCAGAGCAGCTTCAGCACAGAGAAATGGGATGGTTCGTTTCTGGACACCAGCAGAGACTGCAAGGAGAATGCCTGGTGCCCAGAAATGGCATTCCACTGTCACCGTCTTTATGACTGGTCTGGCAGGCTGAGTTAGGGACCCCAGAAGGTGTGCAGAACTCAGGAGCGTCAAGACGGGTAGCAGGGTGATTAGAGTCTGACTGCCTTGAGACTTGCCTGCGGAACATTGATGCGCTGGGCGGGTATGCCACGATCTTGGGGAAGGCCCGGCTGTCTCCAAAGCATTCAAAGCAGCCATACGGGCCACGGAAGGACTCGCCAAAGGGCGACGTGTGGGAGTGCCTTGCTGAGTGCCTCGGCCTGGCATGGCCGAGACTTCGCACTTGAGTAGCAGCCTCCCAGGTATGACGACAAAACGATAGAAGTTCCCTTCAAGGAGAAGGGAGGCAAAAAGGCCAAGGGAAAATGGTTCAGCAACAAGAAGCTGGAAGTGAAAGGAATCGAGCTCGGGCCTCCACTTCTTTTGGTGCTGCTCCAGCCTGCTCTGGCCGCTCCTCTTTGCTAGAGTGCCAGAGGTGGGAGGATGGTACCGTCTGGGAAAAGATGGAGTACAAGGCCAGGATCTGAAGTTTCAATCGAAGAGGCTTCTGCCTCGTCTTTCAGATCATCAACTCCCCGAACGAGCAGATGGATCCGCTTGGCCTGGCTCGCCTTCGCATGATTTGCAAGTAGTAGCATGGGCATGGGTGCAAGCCCTGTGCGTGCCATCGTTGTTTTGCCCGTGTCTCATCCTATCGGCTGCCAGACCGCAAGAAAGGGTGAGAAGGAGAAGGCAGAGGGAAAGCCAAAGTGACCTGGTCTGATGCGGCATCTGAGCCTCAACGCTCAAGCTTCCAATTTCCACGTGATCGTGGCTGTGTGAAAGTCTCCAATATCTCTAGCTTCGTCTTTGTGGTCTTGTCCACACCCGTCGTTGCCTTTGTTTCACGCGGATGTGTAGTCTGTGTAAGAGCAATTTTCTAAAGCGAGTCGGACCTGAGATGTCCAGACGACGCCAGACCCGGGCCCGGAGGCCTCGTCGTTTCAATTATTGTGCGCCGGCGCTTCTCGGCCTGCAGTCTTTGCAAAAGAAGCCAAGCCCTGTGCGCTTCCGCCGCCCCACGGTGGACCTTGGGACTCTGCAATCTTGGCAAAGTCGCCTCTCGTGGCTCGAAGTCGAAGGTAGCGGGCCCGGTGGAGGCTTCCGGCTGACGATGCCTGGGTCGGAGGAAGATGCCGTACCTGTCCCAACGGCCGGGAAGCACAGACTGCAGGACTGAAACAGAGCAAGTCGAGCAGCGTGACCTATTCTGCCAGGCATCCAGGGAAGACAACCTCGCGTATGACCTCAAGAACATGGCGGCCTACGACATCTCGCCCATGCGCCGTCCAGCAGTTTTGCAGTCTACCTCTGCCTTTGTAGCTGCCAGTCTTCGTTGAGGTCTTCCGGGATGGATGTTGCAGCCTACAGCCGAGATTCTGTTCAGCCGTGGGCCCAAGAAGCTGGGAATATTGGAGATGACAGCATGCATGCATGGATGGATGGATGGATGTATGTATGTATGCATGTATCACATTGGCAAGACAAGAAGCCAGTATGAACGCGGTCTGACCTGGATGGCTTCCAGGCGTGAGTTCGGTGTCGTGGGGCCCGTACTGTGTCGAGAAAAGAACAAGACGAACCTGGTAGACAACACAGAAGGAGAAGCCGAGAAAGGTAGAAATTGCAAGTTTTGTGGATGGTGATTTCGTGTGACAAAAACTTATCACATGATCACGACAGGAAGAGAAACACCAACGAAGAAGTTGGTGTTTATGATTTGCCAGACGTAGAGGAAGCATAAAGTACGTAAGCTGTATGCAGGCAGTTGCTTGAAGCGCGATTTTCCACACAGAGCTGGCTTTTCTTGATCGTGTCATGATGGTGTAAGCATGCCCGAGATGTTTGTTTACAAGACCGCGATCATAAGTATGAACGTTGTGCTGTATGGAACAGCTCCGGGATTCGCATCGACCAAAGAATCAGCTTGGGCACCAGAATCACTGGAAACTGGAAACAGAGGCCGCTCCTGGATCTGGATCCGAGGGAATGATCTCATGTGATGCGTGAGCCGACTTCAGGTTGTGGTGAAGAGCAGCGTTTGTCTGGTGAAGAGAGTCTGAGAGAGGGCCATGCGACGTGACTCTCTTCGAAGCGCGGTCCGCTTTGCGGCGGTCTCTGTCTGGTGAGGCTCCTGATCAACAAGCTCTTCCTGCTGCCGAGGACGCAGGCCGACGGCCGGAGCCGGAGCTGGAGCGGGGAGCTTCCGTGGAGCAGTCGCAGACGCTGTGGAGCGGTCGCTGTGATCTCATCTCTCTTAGCGTCAGCACGCCATGGCAGGGTGAGGAAGGGACGATGGTGTCACTTCCTGCAGAGGCCCCCCGGGCGGCTTGGATAGACCCGTCAGACGCAAAGAGCCCTTTGCGGTGCAAATTCCTCAGGACACATTCCGGCTACCCCGGTCAAAGCCTATACCGAAGGAGAAGCCGAAGACAAGGTGGCAAAAGTTCATGGAGGTCCGTGTCCTGTCACATAGCCAGCAGAGTAGGTACGGGGGAAAAACTCAGGAGAGGAACATGAAGAAGCGGAAGCGAAGTCGGCTCGTGTGGGACGAGGCCGCCCCTAAATCTCCCGCCTGAAAGACCTAAATCTCCTGCGAGCTACGGGCTTTCTCGGCTCTCTCTCTCCCTCCGCACCCTGCACCGTCCGCATCTGGGCTCAGATCGAAGGGGACTGGAAGCCTCGCTGGGGCCACGGGCTCGGACGATAGGAAGGGCCAGGAAGGGCCTCAGCGGCCTCGGAGGGGCGGGGCCTCGGCCTCCGATGCAGTGACTGCGGCCGCCGGCAGGTTACAAGAGCATCAAGAAGTCTGAGGACAAGGCGAACTGGGTGCACGAGGCAAGGGATGGGCCGGGACAAAGCCCCGCACGCTTTTGCTGGGAGCATGTATGAGGTTGGTCAGCACGAGGATCCCAACGAGAATCCCTTCGACAAAGCTGGGGCCCCAAAGGAGCTTTCTGCACAGACACCGGATGCGGCTTGTGCAACAAGAAGCATGACTGTTGAACCAAAGGGAACTGTGCAAAGCTTCGCGAGTTCTCGTTCTTGCAAGCCTGGTGTCCTGGTCCTCGTCCCTTCCCTTGTCTCGTCGCTTTTCGTCTGTCCTGTCTTTGGAGCCATTTGCCTCGGGCATCTTTCCCGGTGAGGTCTTTGTATTTGGCGAGTCTTCGGAAGCTTTTTTGCAACCGAGGCCAAGGCGGAGCAAAGACTTGTGAAAGCCCGACAGAAGATGCGGGAAGCAACCCGGCTGCGGCAAGTGCACTTGGTCACTAGGTCCCTAGGGGTACAGTCTATGCCGCCTAGCGAAGCAGAGAGTGAGACCGGGCTTCTTTGACGGCTGCCATCACCAGGTTCGAAACCAAGTGGAGGCTGCCGGAGGCAGTGGCATTTTCAGCACCGGCAGGAGCAAGCAGAGGACCAAGAGAGGGAGAGAGCATTCTGCGAGGCAAACTTCGCGCCTCAGTGCCAGATCTCGTTGGCAGCCAGACAAAGCCTCAGTCATTCACAGGAGCCGCTTCCGCTCGACACTTGTTTCGCTTTGGCAGACACGTCATTCCTCTCAGGAAAAGAGGGAAGGATGGGCTAAGGGAGGCTGTGAAACGAGCACAGGCTTGCAAGCTCTTCAAGAAGGGGTGAGCGCAGGTCATCTTGGACCGCTTCAGGTGTCGTCTGCCTCCTACGGCAAATTTGACAGGATAGCGCCGAACGAGGCGAGTCATGGACTTCGGAAGTCTCACGTTTCACAGTGTTTCAACTGCTGCTTCTCAGCAGAAGGCTACAAACTTGCAGCCCACGCGCAAGAAGGGCATTGCGCCTGTCAGCAGCAACGCTGAGAAGGAGCCGCTGTGGCGAGTGAGTGAATCGGACATATCCGAAAGTGCGGTGCCAGGACAGCTACCTGAAGACAGTAGGTCGCGTGCTGTCCGGCGATGGCTACATCGACAAACACAAGGCCGCGAAGGCCTGACGGCGTTCTGTCGGCCCCTGGTGGGCTTCTTTCGGTTTGGGCGACGAAGTGGACAGGTTGGCGTGACGCGGGAGCGCCGCAACGACGCAGCGGACCCAAGCGTTCGATTCGACGTGTTTGGTGCCTCGGCCTCCTGCCGCGGCTGCCGTGGTGCCTAGGCACGCTCGCAAGCGAGCGGGAAGAGCGGGTCCAAGCGGCGCAGCAAACAAGGTGGAGGCAAAAAGAAGGGCCGACGGTGACGACAAGCCTGAGTCCGAGACCTGGAGGCAAGTCTGAGACTGCTTCACGGCTTCACGGCTTTCGTGGCGTTTCACCTCCATTAGCGCCGCTTTTTTGCCACTCAGCAACTCAGCCGTCGGAGAAAGCCTCGAGCTCGCCCAAAGCGTCGTGTTTTTTTTTTTTTGGGGGGGGGGGGGGCATTGCTGTGTCTCTTCAAGGAAGAAATCGTTGCCGGGCTCAGCGTTGTAGTTAGGTGAATAGGATCATGGCTCCTGGGATCGCAGCGAGTCCTTCCTGAGACATGTGGCCCCTGGCATGCTTCGGCTTCGCTATGCTTCGCTGCTTCGGCTTTGCGTCGGCTCTGGTGCATGGCCTTTGCTGGCAGGTCGGAGAGGCCACAGTTCGTGAACAGGTCTGCTCAAGAGCACCTGATGTGGGGCGCCACAGTCCTCTGCTCTGGCATGCGCTGCCCCGTTTCAGGCAGGAAGCACGAGAGACTCCTGCTCAGGTACATACAGGAAAAGGTGAATCCGGTGTTGGAGGCCTCATGGGGAGCCAGGTGGAATTGTTTGGAGACCGTGAATGTGCAGGCGCTGGTGACTGCAGTTCTTCTGGAGCGCCCCGACGACCCTTCCTTTTTCATGCTTAGGTGTGCCAGAGAATTTCTGCAAAGTCACGGGCGCTTGCTTGCTCTCGGAAGGTGGCTCTGCGAGCAGACAAAGTCCTTAGATGGTCCAGAGCAGGTGGCAGAGATCCGTCAGAGGCTTCCTCGATTCTTTTGTTGAGAGGGCGGCGGCCAGCGGGCCAGCTCCATTGCCGAGGAGGCGCTAAGCCCGGCCTGCCAATCTGGGGCCGGAGCTGCACAGAAGCGACCTCTCTCCCTTTTGCCTCGAGCGTGCTATCACGGATAGCACGGCTTTTGTGAGATGTCTTCTGACGCATCGTCTGCATTCGGTGTCTCAATGTTGTTGTTGAAGGTCCGTCATTGTCTCTACGGCAAAGGCGGTGATGGTAGTCTGACAAGAGTGTTATCAGCGCTTTCCCACTATATTGCTAAACCGTACCATCTGCCATGGCCCTTCCCGCGAGCTTGAGTGGCAGCGACATCTCCCTGGCGGACGTGCTTCGTGAAGTGTCGGACATCATGAGCAATCCCAGGCGCTTCTCGTTTCGGTGTTCAGGGTCTCGGTTTCAAGTTGAAGAGTGTCAGGGGTCGGCGTGTTTTTTTAAGAGTAGATCCTTGGAGCCTGGTGTTTGCAGATCCTGGGAGAATCGCCGCGAGACAATATTCGAGTTGCTGCGGCGATCTGTCATCCAAAGCGGGCGGCCGGCTCCCCGGACGTTGGGCGCTTGCATGCGGTTGCAGTTGCTGTTCAAGTCAAGTAGTGAGGAACGGCTGCTTGGACTCCAAGCTACATGGTCCAGAGAGCAGCCTCGAGACTGCTTGGGTTTTTCTCTTGACGCAGCTCGGACCAGTTCGGTTTGGGTGCTCCCACTTTTGGCAGCCGTGGCAGTCCCAGGTTGCGGCGACGAAGCCCAGTTCGGCAGAGGCGCATCGACGAGTGTCTGAAGGCGCTCAGCTCCTCTGACAGGCCGGGTCGCCGGGAGGTCCGGCGGGTTGTCTCCGACTCTGCGGCCGCTGAGGTGGATGCAGATCCTCAAGCAGTCCTCCAGGGCACAGGAGCTGCTGCGGGATCAAGCAGGAGCCTTGCCTTCTCCGTTGTCCCTCGAGGGGGTCGGAGTGGCAGAAACGGCCCATGAAGCCCACCCCAGATTCGGCAACCTGAGTCCCAAAGCAATGGCTGGCACCGCGGTTTTCTCAGCGGCAATGCAAGCAAGTTCAGGGCCAAGCTCACCTGCAGGTGCCTCACGAGCGCAGGATCGTGATCGAAACTTGGACAGAGAGGCGGATAAGATCGAGGAAGGTGTCAAGCAGCCGCAGCAACACGTCACTTCGAAGGTGGTTGGGGCCACACAGTCAGCGTTCCAAGCAGCGCGGGACACCAATCAGAAATACGGGGTCACCGACAAGATCGGTGAAGGTGCGAAGGTTGCATACACGAAGGCGAGAGACTTCGAGCAGCAGCACCACGTCACTTCGAAGGTGGTTGGGGCCACACAGTCAGCGTTCCAAGCAGCGCGGGACACCAATCAGAAATACGGGGTCACCGACAAGATCGGTGAAGGTGCGAAGGTTGCATACACGAAGGCGAGAGACTTCGAGCAGCAGCACCACGTCACTTCGAAGGTGGTTGGGGCCACGCAGTCAGCGTTCCAAGCAGCGCGGGACACCAATCAGAAATACGGGGTCACCGACAAGATTGGTGAAGGGGCGAAGGTTGCATACACCAAGGCGAGAGACTTCGAGCAGCAGCACCACGTCACTTCGAAGGTGGCTTCTGGGCTTAAAGCCGGGGTTAGTGGTGCTGCATCGGCGGCTGGGTCGCTGGCAAAGGGTTCGAACCCATTTACCCACAGTGCAACAGAGGTGGAGGCCCAGGGGATCAGGGAGGGAGCAGGTGCTGCTTCTGCACATTTGCTGTGCTCGCTTACTACTCGTCAATCTAGTGACTAGTGCTTGTTGTGCTCATACTATTCCTCAGCGCAGGCCAACTCCCGGAATCCTTTCCGGGAGGCGCGCAATGGCAATCCGTTCCGGTGACGCCGACTTCCGATTCCGATGACCCCGAAGGCTCGGCGCTGACCTCGGAGGCCAGTGGCCAGTGTGCCTCTACGATCCCTGCGACGAGCATCTACAAGGATACTGCCCGAAGGCCCTCTCAGAGCCTCTAAGCTGGAGAATGCCGAAGCAAGGCGCGGGGTGGAGTGCTTCTCCTCGGAGCGCGCCAGCGATGGCGCCGGGCCAGCGATGGCGCAGCCGTGTCGCACAGCTGTTGCACATATCTCGGTACAAGCATGATTTGACGGGCGTGCCTGCTAGTGAAAAAGCACGCTGACGCAGTGTCAGTGTGCAGAGCTGGTTAATCTCTGTCCCACGCGAACTCATGCTCGCGCAGATCGAGACGGTTCAGGCAGAGATCAAGAAACTGAAGGTGCACGGCCATCCGTGCATGGTTGTCGACTCATAGTCCTCGCTCGTTGGAGGAGCGGAAGTCGGAGTTGCAAACTCTGCTGGGCTTGGAGGAGGCTTTGGGAGTGTCATGCGGAGGGCGAGGTGCTGCTGTCTGTTGCGGTGACAGGAGGTGTTGCCCTCAACGGACCCAGCATGAGCACTTCGAGAGGCTCGTGCTTTTGAATTTTGTGAGCTCGGGGTTTAGACACCAGCGGGTGTGCAGGTGAACGGTGGGGGTGGCTTCTGACGCTTCAGGAGCAGGGTGTCGCAGCACGAGTCTAGACGCCAGGAGACTGCAAGCAGATGGGTGGAAACGTGAAAAGGTGCAGACTGCAGTGCTTCAGAACTGCAGAGCTAGCGCCGATGGGAATGCCACCGAACCTTCCATCTTCTGAGCTTAATCACTTCTCGTCATTTTCGCTTGTTGATGCTTCATGGTGTCAAGTTGCACCAGAAGCGAGGAGTGGTAGAAAGTAGTGGGATTATACAAGCTATCTCCTTGAGACGGCTGCAGAATCTGAAGGAATCGCGAGGGACACAGCATGGCCCAGGCTGTGAGCTTCCGTGCCTGCAGTGGCGCTGTCGCCTGAATTGCCCGCAGCGTGACATCCGCCCTCGCAGTCATGAGGGCTCTGAGATCGGACCGTGCTCTTTCAGACACCCCGTCGTAGATCTTGGAGGCCGAAAGACTCTCGCTTGTTTGCTTGTCTCTCTTTGTCGGCTTCGCAACTTGAGAGATTTTTTGTTCTTCAACCGCACGATACTCACCAACCTTAACGACAAATCTTGAGAAACTGGGATCAGCAGATATCTTCGTCAGAGCATCCGCTATCAGCTGTCTTGTGTCCACGCAGTTTGTGGTGCATAGATCATGCCTGACAAGAAGCATGTCAATCGCTGATGATCCCATCTCCCTGGCTGTGATCATAAATTGGCCTCTCATTAATTGTCAGGAACATCTTGATGCGCTCGCGGCATGCTGTGTCTCGTTCCAGCCTTCGGCCACGTCCCTTGCTAGCGACATCACCTCGTCCGTGTCGGACGCGTCGAGAACCACGGAGTGGGGCAGACGGGCGCCCACTGCCGCCCGTTTCAGATGGCACTGTCACTGCACCGGGGTGAGGTGCTCTGAAAAAGGCGTGACTATATATCCGACGACGGAGACAGGCGCGGAACCCACGCCTGGGCAGCGGCTGGGGCCTCCGAGCGCTCCGGCTCCTCCTCCTTAGGCGTGCCTGCGTACGACATGAACGCATCAAGGCCCGAGACCACTCGAGCGTCGAGGCTGTCGACCACACTGAAAGTTTCTGAGGGGGTGCTGATTTCAGCCGCCGGCACCTCACCCCTCCAGGTATGCGCGTTGCCACTGCGTCTTCTCGACGAACTGTCCGCCAGAGGGACATCCGGGTTGTCCTCGGCGAGCCTTGGCCGCGCTCGGCACAAGCCGCGGGCGCCTCAGGTGCCATGAGGCCTTCCTCGGACTCGGGTGCCCCCTTGTCATCGAACACTGCTTTAAGGGTTGCGGCTTGAGGCTGTTGCTCGCCCTCCTCACGTGCTTTGCTGGCTTTTCCGAAACCGCTTTGCTGCTTGAAGTTGTCTGCCTTGCAGAGGGCGTAATTCAAGCAAGCGACGTCTCCGAACATAGCCACATGTTGTGCCGAGAGTTCAAGGTCCCAGGAAATCGCCGCAGAGGTAGCAGTGGATCGTGACGGGGCGGTGTTGGTTCCAACCTTGACCCTCTGCGTAGCAGTTTGCATTGGGCGGCAGTCCTCCCAGCTTGGCCCCGGCTGCGTGCATGACTTTTCACAGGGTTGTCGCGAGCTTGAGTATGTCAACAGGGGTACTTCGCGACGTTTGCCATGACGAGCGCGAGTGTTAGATAGAATACATGCCACGCACGTCGCCATCAAGACTTGGGGCACACCTCTCTCACATCTGCCAAGGCTCGGTTCCGGCCCACATCTTGTGTGCCCAGTGGCTCAGCAAGCGTGGCGCCGGCTTTTTCGTAGCTCGATCGGAATCTAGGACGGAAAACAGCACGTTCTTGCGAAGCACGTGGCTCATTGCCTGTAAAGCCGGCCTGACATTCTGCGGCCGGTTGAATGATATCACTGCCCAGTGAAATGACTTCGCCATCGAAAAGTCTGAAACACAAAAAGCTGCTGCCGCAACGTCAATGCTCAGATTTGGGCCAGGCTGCCTCCCATTTCACAAACCCAGCAACTTTTGGAGTTTTCGGTGTCGGTAAGTTTCCAAAATTTCGATATGAGACAGCAGATGCGACGATTGCAGTGTGGGTTCCGATTCGTCCTAAATGTATAGGATCATGAGGCTCTCCAATGCGCTCCTTAACCTCAAGAATCGAGAAGCCACAACCCGGAAATGCGTATGCCTTGCACTTCACGCTTCATAGCAGCTCCATGGTTCATGTGATATCACGTGATCTTTAGCTCAAGCCGGCCTCCATCATTCGCATCCTCGCGTGGGCCGACGCTTGTGCAAGGATGTGTTGCCTTGCTACGCCTTGCTAGTTTTGCGAGTGTTACATCAGTGATGGGGATCATTGTTCAAAGTGGGCATCCAGGACATGATCCGTGTCCTGGCTGCGTTGCCCTCAATGGCTCTGCCTTGCAACCTTTCTTGGGACAATGTTCGGTGTAAGGTGAGCTGGAGGCTCTGAAGAAGGACATGGTGATCATTGGCCAGTGTTTGCGTCTTAGCTTTAAGGCCGCGATCTGTGCTGTGGCGCTGCGATTGTTGCGTGCACTCTGTCAGGCTTGGGGTTGCCGGTGCAAGCGGTCTGGGGGCCCGAAGGGGCTCGAGTTCACAAGTAGCTCACGTTTGTCGACTCCGTTTGCCTCCAAGGTTCCCTTCATGAAGCCTCCCAGCGGCCAGGCAAGGTCTTCACTCGCTGTGTGATGCGTGCAAACTCGCTCTCGGGCAGGATATGGTAGAGCCACCATCCAGCTGCCTTCTCGGATACCCATTCGACATCGTTCGACTGTGAATTTCAAGCGGAATCTGAGGCGAGGTTGATGAGCTCTACGTGATGCTCTGCGATATTTGCAAGAGCAGCAGGCTCAGACTATGTAGGTTTGTTTGGCTTGACTTGCTCTCAGACTCATAGCATGGCAGCCGCACGCTCGTTGTATGATCGCACCTGGCGATCTGGCCCGCTTGAATTGCAGAAACGACTCAGATTTGTTGCTTCGCCCACGTTCTGGCATGTTGATCTGACGTTTTTAATGCCTTGGTCAAAATGAGGCCTGGGGTTGGATGACCTGGTGAGGGCGGGGCGCCCAGTGCCAATCCATGCGCAGCATTAGCATATTGCCAGATCAGGAATCAACAATAGTCTTTGTCATTCGGCGCGCTCCGCACCAATTGTCAAGCTATTTCATTGAATCTATTTTCCTGTGTCGCTGTTGCGGAGCTTCTTCCTGCTCGAGGGTGGCTCTAGGCGAACTGATCAACTGATCGGCCCCACGCATGCTCCTCGAACGGTTTACGGGGGCAGAGTCCACGAAAGGCAACGAGAGCCAGAGGTTGGACCAGTTGTGGGCATCTGAATGCTGAGTTTCGAACGACTCTTCAGCACTATGTTGCCAGCACAAGCTGCGTGTCCCCGCCCGAAAAGCCGTCGTGTCAGCAGCGCAGAAGCCGGCAGTGAACCTTGCTAGTAATGACCTATGATAGCCTGCAGTGTAGTACAGACGCAGGTCGATGCAGATGTGCCTGATAACTTGGACAAGGTTACTGGCCAAGAGAACGGAGTTTTCAGGGGATGGAGTCGCCCGCACATTGCCACACATGCAAACCGGCAGCTTCCCCGCTTTGCCTGAAAGTTGCAGAGCTCCCGCGGTGCAGGCCGGATCTGGAGCGGTGCTGCCTGTGCCCAGACCCATCATCTGTGGTCTCCTCTGTGCTATCTTGCTTCCAGGTGCGGGGTTGCTCGCTAATTAAGTGAAGTTGCAAGTTTGGTGCAAGATTCAAGTCTTCTTTGTTTCGCAGTCACGAACAGCAGTTCGAAGGCCACCAATTATGTCTGCCCTGGTTGCCATGTCCACTCCTGAGACGTCGACCGCCGTGTCTACGCTAGTGAAGCTGCAACACTGTCAAGAGAAGCGTTCATTCTGTGAATGATGAAATCATGTCTGAACTGGTGAGATCTTGCAGTGGTGGAGAAGCAGTTCGAGCTAGAGGGTTCTTTGCTTTGATCAGTCAGGCCAGCATTTATGATAGCTGCGCCCACACCGAGCTGTCAGAGCGACGTTGCCCTGCATGTGGTGATGCCGGGGCCTCACTGATCTGTTTGTCGAGTCGGGATCGCGAGAAGGGCGAGAAGATTGTGGAACTCGAAAGCCATTCACTGCAGCAGAGGTTGAGAAGGACGCGGAGCCCTTGCGCTGCTACCTGGCGAGGCACAGAGGAACCTGCGCCAGGGCACTGGTCACCTGGGTTGAGACATCCAGGGACCCGAATCCGAAAAGGTGGGAGGAACTCGAGGGTTTTGAAGGTTACCTAGTGGTACACGAGCATTGTCCACAGCGTCTTCCGTTGCATCCGGATCCCTGTTCACGTCATCACTACGACTCCTTGTTCCCCTCTCACACACACATCAAGCGCGGGGTTGCGCAATCACTCTGGCCTTCGATCACAACCAATTCTGACACTTGCAACAACGGGCAATGACCTTATCTTCGGCACAAAAAGTCTTACCAATACGTTGATTCCACTCATGGCTATGCTTGTTTTAGCGAAGATTCATTTAGTCCTCAAGCTTCTTGTAGCGTTTAGCTCGGCTTCCTTGGCCAGTCGGAAACTTCGCATGGCCCGGATCTGAGCGTGCCTTTTTGCCTTTGGAGGCCTGGGAGGCGGGCCCGGCAAATCGTGCCGGCGAGGCCTGCACCAAATCTCTGGCGATTCCAATTCAGCTTTCGGCGCCGAAGGCTCTCAACGAGGTGGAGGAATCTGGGACGCGCATCGGGCCCAGCTGGACTCAAAAATCTCGGCATTGCAAGAAGCTCGGACTATGTCTTTGCTCCTGCTGCACTGGCCCCGGAACGGCCCCCGTTCGAAGGATATACCAAGAGTCGCTCAGGTCCCGGTTGCAAGGACACCGAAGTTTTCAATGCTGAGCCCCAAGCTCTCGGAGAAGAGACTTGCATAGATAATATGGCAAATATGGCCTTGTGCCAAGCTGCCAAGGTGGCAGACCAGAGTGCACAGCAGATCAGCACTTCCGTGCCGAGCCTCGGGTGCCGGTGTCCCTTACGGAAAAAACACATTCCCGCAGACATTCCAAAACCAGACACAACGATAAGCACATACATGTACTTTTTAATTGAAAAACATGAGAATATCATAAAGCTTCTGGCAAAAAAGGAGAGAAAACCGTAAAACGCACCTAAACAAAACATACTTAAATACAGACCATACAGAAGATTCAATACAGTAAACAACCAAAAAACCCAACCAAAATCAAAACAATAAGCAAACTTTAAAGCATCCAGGATCCCTCTTATTAATAGAGTAGCCCCACATCCACATCGCTTTGTGTGGGGTTCTTACTTTGGGGGCTCTCCCGCTCCTTCTCCCTCGCCTCCTCCTGCCCGCCTCCTCCGCCGTCTGACTCCATGCACACATCACGCACTCATCCTCATGGTCGCTCACACCGCACGCATCATTGTCACTGCATGCACTCATCCTCATGGGCACTCACACCATCACACCACGCACATCACTGCCAGCACCGCGCGCTTCGAGGCCAGCACCCTCCGGAAGACTGTAAGCCACTAAACGCTCTGTTGCATGCCGCGCGCGCGCGCGCGTGCGAGCCCGCGTGGCGGGCTCGCCGGCCCAAACCCTCCAGAAGACTGTAAACGTCACGAAACGCTCTCTCCAGAGTGCTCTGGCACGCGCTTCGGGGCGACCGCCCTCCGGAAGATTGTAAATTTTAAACGCCATCAAACGCTCTCTCCAGCATGCTCTGTGGGAGGCCGTGGCGACCGCCCAGCGGAAGACTGTAAGCGCCACTAAACGCACTCTCCAGAGTGCTCTGTTGGAGCACGCCGCGGGAGTCGAACAAAATCTCGCTGCCGCAGTTCTGCTTGTTGCATGCTGCACAGCTCGTACACACTCACTCACTGACTCACTCACTCACTCACTCACACTGACGCGCGCCCTCGCTCCCTCACTCACTCACTCCTTTACTCGATCACTCCTCTTCACTGTATCTTTGCCAAAAGATGAACTACACATGTGGGGTTATCCGGTCGTTTAATTCTTGCAGGACGCAAGAGCTTCAATTTGCTTGTGTTTGCTCCTGTGAGCTTCAAGGCTCTTTTTCGCAACAAAGCTGCCCAAGCTGACTGGTGGGCTGCAGCCCAAGCAGTTCTGATTCAAAACTCCGACTTTCCGTCATGTTGGGTCAGTGATTCCATGCGCCAGGCTTGGGAGCGCCTGTCGTAAAGAACGCGGGCCGTGGAATCCTTCGGGCGGCCGTGACTGAACTACCGTAAGACCATAAAGCTCATGCGCTGTGTAAATACTGCAAGCTACTGTGTGGCCGTGTGCTTCAAGCCTGTACTTGCGTCGACAAGGATTCAACATAACCCCCTTGATGCATGTTCAGCTCTAGCTCTGTCCGAGAAAAGCTTGGACAGTCCCATCGGCTCGCACTGTTTCCGTTGCGAACTTGTATTGGAAAAAGGCCAACTTGATCTAGTGCTCACTTCGTCCAGTGCAGCTGCTTGAACCCACAAGAACAGCAGAGATTCAATATCGATGCCGGATCCATCGCCTTCGAGAAACCTGTCGGAAGTTCGGTTCTCCTTTAGGATGCTGCGCTTTGGGCGAGTTTTGCATGTGTTCCTTTCCGCCGAAGCGATGACCCGAGCTCTCAGCTATTCCTTGAAGCTGCTTTTCCGTTTCTCTCTGGGTGTTGCTCTCAGACTCCCAGCATTGCGTTTGCACCCGGTCTTTGCGCTCTGGGCATCCCTCGCTTCTTATGTCTGGATTCTTGGCGTGTCTTTCTGTCCCAGAACACAGCCGTGAAGGATGGAGCCTTCCGCTCCGCAGTTGATTCGGTGCTGGGGTCCGGTCCGTGAGTTCTTGGGGCTTGAATGCCGACGCAAGCGGAAGCCCGGGTTACAGTGGCAACATCAAGACGGTTCTCCAAAGTGTTGCAGGAAAGTACACCCTCTCAGTTGTACTGTTGTACACTACAGAGAACGCAGAGCCGTGACCCTGTTGGGGAGCACTCGGGGGCAAGCCATGCCGCTTTGGATTCCAACGGTCCACAGACGATCGATGCCATGGAATGCCTTTTGCGGCGCAAGTGGAGTGTGGCGGTCTTGGGCTGCTACGCAATTTTCGGTTTCGTGGGCTTCCTGGGCTCCTCGCTCCCTTCGCTTTCCATCTGGTGTTTTTGGTGGGTCGGAGCCTGCTTCTCGGAGTCCCAGCGGCACTGCGCCTTGATGTCTCTCTGGCTGCCCACGGAGATCGAGATGCATCACTTCGCGCTGAGGAGCCGTGAGGAGTTCGCAGAGAGGAGGAGCTGGGTCATCCAGGCGGACGGCCATGACGTGGAGGCAGAGTTCCGCCTTAGGGACGACATCAACTCCGCCTGCGCGGCACCGCAGCGCATCCGGCGCTTTGTGCCGAGCTTGAAGGCTCAGAGGCGCGGAGCGGAGCGGAGCGGAGCGGAGCGGAGAGAGAGGTGAAAGAGGGCTTGAAAGACAAGGGGGTGACGGTAGAGGGAGACGTAGTGACTAGTGGGCAGCAGGACGGTTGGGAGAAGGCAAAGGTAAAGGCTTCGCCAGAAGCGCTACTGTGAGCGCTATGTTGCTTCCATGCAAGGGCGCTGCCTTGGTCGGAGCGGAAGGCTTTGTACGAGAAGCCTGCAGCCTTCTCACGCAAGCACTTTCTCACAGCATTGGCGGAGGTCAACTTGGTCACGCCGGAAGACGATTATTTGCTTGACACTGGGGCGTCACTACGGCAAAGGCGTAAAGTTGCGTAAAGACGAGTCTGTACAAGGTAAGAGTCGGTGTGTGCCATTGAGCAGACAGTAGAGTCCCGAGATGGCCTTGTAGCATTGAAATGTGTGCCTTGCACTGAGGAATGGATCGACTTCCATTTGCTTGTCGGGTTTGACTACTTTGTGATTTATGATGCCAAGAACCTCACCAGCACAAGACATGCACTGGAGGAGTACATCTCTCATGGGTATGTGGAGTTAGTGCCATGTCGAGTGGATGCAGCAGGCAATTGTTTGCCTGTGGAGCAACTATCGAGATCTGGAAATCAGGAGTTTGACTGGAGGAGATATGCCGTTCTGAAAATCGCAAAGGAGAGATCAACGCATTGGATCGCCTTGATGGACATCGACGACGAGTTCTTCTTCCCACGGCGCTTTGCATCCTTGAGAGACATTCTTGTACCGGAATCAGAACCAGCCGGTATCAATGGCTTCTTCATTTGGCAACTAAACTTTGGATCATCGGGTTGGCAAACAAGACCTGCTCAACTGCAGATAGAAGCATACAGCCGCAGTGCTTCTCAAAGGGACTGGAATGGAAAAAGCATCGCCCAAGCCGATGCTTTGGTTCTCAATGGAACTTTGGCCTACAAGGGCAATCCCCATCTCTTGTTGTCAGGGAGTGAGCCAGGAGTGAAACGCTGCGACGCTCACATGCAGGATTTTCAAGGCAAAGTTCATTGCATTGAGAACCCTGCGCGGATGTTCGACGTTGTCGGCATTGGTTTATGCCTGGCCAACTTCCTTGTCTTTGCCGCGCTGGGGGCAGCTCCTTGCATTCTCCGGTCCCTGGCAGATACCGGGCGAGTTTTGAAGACGAGCTGAAGAGTATCTCGCGAGCAGCGCAGAAATGGAGCTTGAGCGGTCCACGATGGAACACGACACGGCAGCGACTTCTGACCTCGCTTCGGGAGAGGTTTGGTGACTTCGGCAGCATGTCGAGTTGTTTGTCGAATGGGTTGTGTGCTCCTATCAGCAGAATTCTAGGGAGATATGGGACACTGTGGGAGCTGAGCGAAGGTCTTCCAGTCCTCACCACAGATTTCCAGAGTTGCAACCGCTTGCAACCAGAAATGGCCTACAGTAGAGACAGCGTGAGTTTGGTGACATTTCCTGATCCTGAATAATGCCAGCACGAGATGTGATCCTCGTCCTTTTTATTGGCACGCTCCTCCTGGAGACTTTTCCATGCTCGCGTGTTTTCAACAGATGCTTTTCCTCGCGGGCTGGCAGATGCATTCAACAACTCTTGCTCAGTTTGGGTCCCTGAGGTCAGAGCGGAATGCGTCAAGCTGTCTTGGCAGACGGCGGATGGTCAAGGTCCAGGCTGAATGAGCGAATCTGATTCTGGGAGGGCGGTTCGAACCCTCCCCATCTCGGTACTCCTGGGCGGCGCTCCAGAGTGCAGACTGTGCCGCGGAAGACGGCACGGCGAATCCAGCACGACAAGCCCAAGGGAGACCCGTCATCAGGCGCCTCGCACTGGGACAGGTCTCAGTCTCCGTAATCCTTGGCTGGCAAGCACGTAAGACGTAAGCTCGACTTCCAACCTCCGTTTAAAATTGGAGCATACGGAGCTCGTGAAAAAGAGCAGTGCCGACTGAAATATCAGGCTGAGCTTCCATACAGTTGCGTCCCTGCAAGTCTTTTGATCTTGGAGTTGTCCAATTGTGTTTAACGTGGCTCAAGGTTCAAAGTGACGTTGGCTTGTTTTCCAGCCTGGCATCAAGCACCTGCATGAAAGCACCTGTTGCATTAGCTAGTTGTTGAGCTTAATCTGGTAGCGGTTAGGTTGGTAGTGCGCTACCTGGAAAGTCCGCGACGATGCTGGGGTCCCGAGTTGCATGGACGACAGAGCTGCGGAGGTCCATGCACCGCGGAAGAAGGTACAGGCACCGCGACCAGGTGCAATCAAACCAGATCCTTCCGATGGCGGCGTGACACGTCGCGTCTTTGTGTTTGATTTGACGCTGGACCGTTTCTTTGCTGCGTGGCATGCTGTCAGCATCGATGCTCGTCACTATGGGAGGTGTCGACGAGACGCGAACTCACGAAAATGGTTGGGGACACAATGCTCGACTCGGTTCTTGTGGAGCCTGGTCGCATCTTTGCAGTGCTTTGTTGATAAGACTCTGCCAGCAAAGTTGTTTCGGGGAATGCGCTGCCGGCACATATCGACCCAGAATGCGGGAACGTTTCTGTCAAGCAGTGAAAGAGGTATTTGTAAGGTCGTGTTTGACAACGAGGCGGAGCCTACATTAGTTCCGATGGTGCAGCTCGTCCGGGTTTGTGTGGTGCCACATCCTTTCTTGGCCGGGTTGGCGTTTCTGGCTTGGGCACTGGCTCATGCGCAGCAGGAGGACTTGAAGATTGACAGCATGCGCACGGCCTTGATGTTCAAGCAAGTCATGGGCAAGTCTTCGGGCCAACTGACCATGCTCGCGGTCATGCAAGAAGAGGCGGTGAAAGGCTTGAAGTTTTGCTTTGCTGCCTGGAAGAGAACCGTGAAACGCAAGGCCCAGGCATTGCGGAAGTTCTGGCTGAATGGTTTGAAGGACGCTTTCAAAGCCTGGCTGGAGACCCTGTTGCTTGAGCGACACGACCGGGCCCTGGAACTGCTGACCCGGACGCAGGCCGCGGTTTGCGGGCTTTGAGAGAGGGTGAGCGAGTGAGCGAGCCATGGGAGCCCTTGGGTGGAGAAAGTCTGGGCAGTAGAGTTTAGAGGGGTTCAGCAGAGGCCGACCTGAAGCAGCTGCAGATCACGGCCTTGGCGAGGCAGGCGCAGGCGGAACGTCTCAAAGGATGCGTTCTCGAACTACGGCATGGGCTTCTCGGCTCGGAGTCTGTATGTCCTGGGCACTTCGGCCTGAGCAGTCCGGCAGTCCTAAAGCTTTGACCCTTGCCAAGGTGTTTCAGGCAGTTCTTCCGGCGGGTCCTGTTCTCCTGGAAGCGTGTCTGTTCACGGATCCGTCTGATGGCAGAGAGCCGTGTGCGGGCACGGCAGGCTCTGGCAGCTTCAGCGCTGCAGGTGGCCGAAGCCATGGGGAAGCTTACAATCACTTTCTTGCGACCCCACCTGCAAGCATGGGTACCCTGGTCGCTCTGGCATCTGTTCATTGCAGTTGTTACATGCTTGTTTCATAAACTGCTCATCCCAGGCCAGTCGCACAAGTCAAGCACGGAAACTGAAGCATGCGGCACATAACACGATCAAAGCACTGGTGAGCAGCTCTCTTTCGACGGTGTTTCGCGCCTGGAAGCAAATGAAGTTGAGCAACTACCAGACACTGGTTGCCAAGCTACATCAGCGCGAGCGCGAGTACTCCGAGCTCCATGAGCTATCCGAGTCCTTCTTTCAATGTTCGAGAGAAGGCTCCCAGCGTCTGAAGGCCATGGAGTCCGCTGCGCAGGCCGCGGATCGAGTTCTACAGAATCCCAGTGCCAAATTAGCCGGAAAACCTTTTCGCCTCCTCGGGCCTCAGGGCTTTCAGCGATGGGAAAAGGGGGAAAGGCTCTTCCCTGCTCTCAGGATCGGTGCGGCCAGGGCGGACTCCTTGGAGGCCGAGGCGAAGACGCTGCGCCAGACGCTGCCCCTCGGCCCTCGGCTCCCTTCGGCTTTGGTCCCTCCTTTGAGAGGAGCGGCCTTCGAGCCTCCGCTTGGTGCGCTTTCCGTGCGCTTGCAGTGCGGTGTTTGAGGCTGGAGCAGATGCGAGAAGGCGCAGCCAGCCGCGGTGGCGGTGGCATCGGTGGCCCTGCCCTGCAGGAGATGGAAGAGAAGTGCCAGAGGCTCAGTGCCGAGGCTGATGCTGAGACGCGATGCTCTCTGGACCTGGAGGTCGGGAGGAGCTCTTGGGTTTGAGCCGAAGAGCTGAGACGCTGGAAGCCGAGCTGGAGGCAAGCCGTGGCATGGAGGCCCAAGCAGAGCCGAGAGAGAGAGAGAGAGAGACGTATATACGCAGCAAGGAAGCCACGCTCTCTGCAGGTCAAGCTGAGGCTCGGCGAGGCCAGGAGGTTTAGGGACCCCTTTGGGCGCCAGGCCCTAGCCTTCTCGGTGGTTGGCTTCTGCAGGCTCAAACACTTCGAGCTGGGGCTCAGTCGGCCTTGGCCGACGCTGCGGCGGAGGCTCGGGACCTGCGGGAGGCCGCTGCCAGGGCCGAGCGCCAGGAGGCGCCTGCGAACTTGGCGTGTGGGAGGGGTGCAGTAGTCTGTAGCGGGGGGCGACCTTCCAGAGTGCCGCTAGGGGAAAGCTAAGTAACGCTTTTGAACAACTTTCCCTTGCTCGAAATGAACCAGCAGTCTACTGATATCATCAGCATCAGCGAAGACGATTGTTTGAAATCCACTGACATATGCTGACGGTGATGTCGATGTCGTAGTGATGAGGTGGTGATATGGTGGTGGCGATGACGGTGATGCACCAGGCAGTGGTGCATCTCATTCTTCTTGTTCTCGGTCCTGTCGCTTGCTTGCGACTGCTGTTGTGGCTGCGATTTTTTGTTTGCAAAGCTGCTCTTCAGTACCATCACTGGTACCATGCCGCACACTGCTCTGATCGTTGGCACACTGATGACTCTGATCTTGTGTCAGATCTCCGTGTCGAGGTCGAGCTGGCGCAGCTGCAGAGAGCAAGGAGCCTCGCGGCGACGGCTGGCAGAGACGCCGCGGCGGCGGCGGCGGCCGCGGCGCAGCAGCGGGCACTGGAGTCCTTGGCTCTTCGGCAGCAGCCCTGCAGCCCTGCAGCCTCCTCTTGTCTGAAGCTCCTGCTTAAGCTCTCGAACAGGAGCTTCAAGTCCAGCGCAGTGCGGAAGAAGCGGCTCCCGGAGTGCGGCGGCACGGGGCGCACGCGGCGCACGCGGCGCCCGCGGCGGGGGGCGCGGCCGCCTCGAGAGCCGAAGCCGCCGAAGCGGCCTCGGCTTCGGCTCGCTTGGGAGACCGCGCCACGCAGACGTCGCTGCCTCCGGGTTTGGCTTCGGCTCCTCCCCCGGCGGCGGAAGCTGCTCCGTCTGGCTCGCGGTCCTTGGATCATCACCGCAAGTTCGTGAATGCCTGGAAGCCAAACGGCCGGGATCTTCCCGACACCGCAGATGAGAAGGCCATGAGCTTCGACCTCGCCAGCAACATCTTGAGAACCGGAGCTTACTTCAAGAAGAAAGCTGGGCGGCGCTCTTCCGTGACGCGCTACTTCTTCGTGGGCGAGCCGGGCAGTGCCCAAGGGTTTCTCAGATACTTCCGAGACCACAAAGCGGCTGTGTCGGCGGCGACGCCCCGGGGCGGCTTCGATCTGGTCGACCTGGTGAGGTGCAGGGCAAAAAACATATTGCAGAGAACGTCATAATGGCTGTAACTATGTCTCAATTTGTATTTAACTCTGTATCCATATTTGCCTGCAGGGTCTCTGTTTGTTAATTTTCCCCGTTGTGCCAGCCAGGGCCAACTGGGATGGCCTGCAGTGCAGCATCACTCTGACGCAATCGACCAAAACAGATGCTTCGGAAAGGGGCTTGGTGGAAATTCCACAAGCTTTCTTTCAGGCTCTTCTTTTTGCCGTTCATGAGGCGGAGTTCCGACGCCAGCATCCTGACTGTAGAGACGGCTGATACCGCTTGCCCACGAGTCTGAGCTCTGAAGCCCATCCGGCTAGACTCTGACGCAGCAGTGCGTTGTTTAAACAGGGTCGCCGTGCAAGCCCAAATCTAGTTGTGACTTCGTGGTGTGACGACAGTGACGAGAACCACCTCAGCTCCTTGCCGCAGTGTTTTAGTTATCCTTCCCAAGGTTGTGTGATTCAGTGGTGGTGTGACGCAGTGACACCTAAGTTAACAGCCCATGACGCAGCGGAATCCATGGCAACGGTCAGCATCTGTTTTGAAGCACAGCATACACAGCACAATACGGTGCGGCGCGATGATCCGGCCAGGGGCTCAATCGCATCTTTCGTGCAGGGATCGTAGAGCGAGTGCTGAGTGTGAGGCCTGTCACGCGACGCAGGGAGGAAGGCTCCAGCCTCGTGTCCATGTTCTCGCCAAGGCCGGGAGCGCGGCTCTTTGTTGGGAAGGTTATAGCTCTTCGAATATTTTTTGAGGTGACGGCGAAATGGAGGGATCCCGTCTTCAAGTGCGGCAGCCTCAGTCGGTGCCCGCGGAGAGGCAGGTGCAGTCTCAGTGCTCCGAGGTCCAAGAGCCGAGTCTTCAAAAGCTCGAGCCACCTGGACCTGCAGACCAAGCGGGATGAGGAGAGCAGTTTCTGCCCACTCCGGGCAAACGGGAGGGGAGATCTGAACAGGAAGAGAAGGTGAACAAGCCGAAGACGCCCAAGACACCGAAGACGCCGAAGACTCCGGGGTCCCGAGATGCCATGCAGGCGACGCACTTCGTGGGCCGCCCCAGCAGCCGAAGAGACGCGTGCGACGCGATCGTGCGCGCGATCGTGTTGCGAACAGCAGTTGCAGCTCCACGCTCCCGAGGCGAAGCAGCGCATCGCCGCCCTCAAGCGCTTCCTCCCGACGCCCGTCTCCGCGCAGAAGGCGCTCAAGGAGGCGCTGGAAGCCGAGGAGGCGCGGCCGCCCGGCGCAGCCGAAGACTGAAGTCGCTGCTGGAGAGGGCAACAGGTGTTGCGTGCTCCGGAAGCGTGTGCCACAGATTGACAGGATCCCGGAGAGGTTTCCATGGCCGCGGGCTTGGTCTGCACAAGTGCGGTGCGGTGGTGCAGTGCGGTGCTCTTGGCAGGGCCGGCCGCCGGCGCCGGAGCCAGACCCGGACCGAAGCTCCGCCCTGTCCGAGCCCCGCAGCGCACCGCCTTTTTCCTCTCATTCCTCTCCTCTCCGGCCTCCGGCTCCGCCTTTTTCGAAGGCTCCGAGCCATGGAGCAGAGCCCGCTCTTCGAAGGCTGCGCTGCTGAGTTCCTGGAGGCCGCGACTCTCTCTCTGTTTCTCTCTCTCTCTCTGCATGCCTCTGAGTCTCTGTCTCTGCAAGCTTGAGAGAGGCGGTTTGACCAGTGCAGCTAGAAACGTACGGTAGACCGGACCTGGGCAGCGCCCGTGTCGGCCCGTGTCTTGTCCGAGCAGGTCCTGCTCCGAGAGTCGAAGCGGAAGTTCTTGGCTCCCGGTGAAGCCAGGGCCCCTGCAGGGCCCCAGACCAAGCATCCCCAAGACACGTCAACGTCGCAGCCATCACGTTTGCCCGCGACGACGCATGAGCCGTGCAGCGGAGTGCATGGAACAGAGTTGCCCACTCCGGCTACGCCGCCCCTGCCTTGTCATGTCGATGGCGAAAAGTATGAGCTCGTTGATTCTTGCGTCGAGGAGATGCACGGAGCTCCTTGTGAGCCCGATCGAAAGGAAGGCACCCCGGCCGTCCCGGGACGTTCAGCAACAGAGAAAGCTGATCGAGCGAATGTTGATTTTTTCTGCTCTCTTCCCACGCGCAAAGGAGCCCGAAAAGGGAGCCTTCTACGTGGTTTTCTATGTTCTTCTCGAAAGTGGCAACCCGTAGCCAGGGGACAAGTCTAACTCAAGAGTTGTAGGGCTGTTGGGGGTCGTTTAGCCACAGAACGAGGCGGGAGTGGTAGGCTGGTAGGGAGCAGCAAGCGGCTCAGGTCTTGAAGCTCACGGACTGCGGATCTTTGTTCCTGGTGGAGACGGGGGCCGTTCGCTTCCAGGCTGTGACAAGTCGGAGAAGGTCATGTGGGCGGGTACGGAGAGGAGTCGGACTCAGGTGGGCGACGAGAAGCAGATCTCGCTTCAGGGCTGCCGCCTCACGACAGCCCCATCCCAATCTCCATGCTGCGGGCGACGCAGGGCGTGGCCAGTTCATCAACGGGGCCGGCTTCCTGCGGCTGCTTGCGGAGGCGATTGCGATCGCGTTTTGCGGTATCTCTGCGGCGCTGTGGTGCGCGAGGGGAAGGTCTTCAAGCAGCGCCTGGGAGCTGGCGGCCTGGCCCTGCGGCCGAAGACGGAAGCCGAGTTCGTCCTGCAGCCTTGGGGGCGAAGATGGGCGAAGCGGGTGTAGGGCTCTGTCTAAGGGCAGCTCGACAGCAAGGCTATGATGTTCACGGCCCGGGTCTCGAGTGCCGCACGCTGGCATCGGATTACGCGGGAGTGTCTGCAGGCTATAGCGGATTACCGCCTATCATCTACGTGGACTTTCGGGGCCCGCCACAGCAGCCGGAGGACCTTCTGGGATGTTTCTTCGATTCGCAGCAGCGCGTAGGTTCAACAGCATGCAGGAGTATAGTGGGCCAGATGATGTCACTATGGCCTTCTTCAACACATGTCCGGAGCTTCGTCCAAGGTCCAAAATTATGGATTTGACGTGAGAGGATGCCGGACGTCTCAGGTCCGTATTCCTGCAGGATGAGCACTGACCCTCCAGTGGCACAGGGCTGGCTGAGCCTGGCAGCCCCAGCCTGCTTTCTCGCCCTTCCTTCCTCTCCCTCAGCTCGCATATTCTTTTACCGTTTTCAGTTTTTACTGCTGCATCCCTGTAGCGTGCAGGGGGTATCCGCCTTTCCGCCGTGCATGTAGAACCTAAGTGACACGGATAAGAGCTGCAAGGGTATGAGTGTGTCACAGCACGTCACTCCGCGCTCATGGGCCAACGGTTCCTTTTTGCATTTTGTAGGTATTCTTCTTGTTTGTATCAAGTTGTAATACAATGATTCTGAATGTAGCTTTAAATGCAGAATTGATGGGAAATTACATGAGTAGATAGATAATGAAAGCGAAAGTAATACATGCTGAACTGATGGCAGCATATTCAAGCAACGAAAATAATTACATGAGGGCATTATCATTAACTGGCAAAGCAGAATGACATTGCTGGCTGAAGTACACAAGTTACAGAACTGGCAAGCGCAGTGCGATAACGCAAGCAAACCATTTGAAGCGCTTCATCCATCGAGCTGTTTATACTGCTATAAGTGCGCAGAAAGCTCGTACTGCATGTAGACATGCGTACAAAGATATTTGTAGATTGATCTACACATGTGTGAAGTCCGTTTGCGCGCTTTTTTGTATCTATGTAGTATGTATGTATGTATGTACGTACGTACAAGTTTGTTTTACCCCTTATTGCCTTCGGCAGCAAGTGTAACATCAAGTAGTTTTGCTTCGTGGTCCACAACAAACAGGTGCACACATAAGCAACTTTATACCAGTATCGCAGCTTCGAACGTAGATTTTGTAAAGGTCTTCGCACGCGTGTGTGAGAGTTGAGCCTCAATTTGTCCAACCTCAGTCTTCCCCAACCCAAGAGGACTCGATGCATTCAGCGGAAACTTCTGCTGGCATCTTGAACCTTGAGTGATGCCACCCAGGGTTGAGCTTCAATACCCCGGATGAAACTTCAATACTAGGCGTTTCAGTTGCATGCATCCCACTGTTCGCCGCCCAAGGTCTATTGTAAGCTGTAGTTATTGAAACCAGTGTACCCCCAAAACCTCGCAAGCTTGTACACTGAACCTCACATGAAGCTTGTGCCTTCATAGTCATCATAGGGTTTTGTAGGATACAGGGGCTTCAACAAGTACGACCTACAAGTAAGTTTCAATTTTGCAGGGACAATGAGATACCATTGCTAATCATTGAGACCTCCTGGTCGTATTCAGGGTTTAGGGTGTTGGAATTAGGGTCTGGAAGATTTTGGGTTTGGGGGTCCCGTCCCAGGTTTTCGGGTTTGGGAGTCCAGTTCGTATGCGGGGGTTTCAGCCTATGGCATGCGTTCCTGACTTTGCTATGGTCGCATGTTTCTGAGTTTCACAAAACGTGGGAAGTAGATCTTGCTGCTTTGACAGTGTCAGAGGCCAGAAGTTTGATTCTGGTGTCACCTTGCTTATCGATTCCCACGCTTGTTTCAAAACCTCTTCCAATACTGAACGTAATATGCAAACATTGTCAGAACTTTGCTCCCGCTTGCTTCAACACAGCTTCCCTGAAATCTCTATAAACTGTATATGTGATCTACTTCAGCATGATGCTTACCTTCTGTGAGAAATGTTGTTGAGCTCTGGGTTTACGTGCATAATGCGCTGCTTATGCCAACCTCAAGACTAGAAGCATTCGTTTTATGCATGCATGCATGTAAGTATGTATTTATGTAGATGCAAAAGTATCTGTACACGCATGCGTGCAGCTCGATTTTTCCAGCCATCTATCTATCTCTCTCGCTCTCTCTCTCTCTCTCTCTCTCGCTCTCGCTCTCGCTCTGGCTCTTGCTCTCGCTCTCTGTCTCTCTCGCTGTGCCAGACAGTCACCGGAGCAGCAGCCGGCGAACATCCCGCCAAGGCAACAGCAGTTTTCCGTTTGAGGAGGGCCATGCACCGGGAATGTTCGACATCAGGCTGGTGCGTCCCTGCCAGCAGGTGGAGCCACGGCCCAGATCTCGTGACTCAGGGCTTAAAGCAAGCATGAAGAGGAGAGGCTGATTCGCGAGTCGGCCCAGGTGCTGGCGTTGCCGCTACGAGCTTGGACTTCGCGTCGCTTTGTGTTACCAGAGAGCTCTTTTGCTCACGTCTTTACCTCGTCCACACGAGGCCTTTGCAGAAGATTCAAGACATGCTCGATCGTAAATGTGGGGAGGCATGCTCCCTGCATAACAACTTGGGTACAAAGCTCCACTTTTGGCAGGCTGAGGTGACGATGAAGATGCTCGGAAACTTTGGTTTGAACTGTGTTTCGCTCGGCGCAGGGAGAGCGGCTAATAGACGAGTCCGGAGCTTCTGCCGATTGTGGATTCTTGTGTGCACCTGAGGCGAGGAAGTGACCTCTGTCTGGACCGCTGCAGCCCAAGTCATAGAGCCGCTTCCACCGCAGAGCTCCACACAGCTGCGGCGTGCTGTCACGCACGAGTCCAGGAGATGATGAGCCGCTTCATCCTGACCGTGTTCCCTGGTGCACCCTTCGAGGCTCGGAGACGCCGCGACGCCATGATTCTATCGCTAATTCTGCGATGCTGCGCAGTGGCCTGGAGGCCGTGTACACCCTCGCCGAGGGCTCGAAACGGTGCTTCGTTCCGAAGGGCTCGAACGTGGTTGTGGAGGGTGAAACTGGAGAGGACCGCTGTTTCAAGAGACAAGAAAAGCTAAAGCCAAAGCTTCGGCTGTCAAAGCCCGACTTTCAGCCCCCGGAAGCGCTCGGAACACCTGACCGCAGGATGCAGATGCATTGGTTATCATCGTGAATGGAGTTGCTTCTGTGCTCAAGAAGGCATCAGCGCAGGTTCTTCTGTGACAGATGTAAGAGCTCAGTCGTCTGTGCAGGTTCAAGAGGTGGATGGCACGGCGGAGCAGCAGGCTGGCGGCATCTGGCGGCTGTTTCGGGAGTTTCGTCTCAAGCACCTCCACGCCTGCCAGACGGTGGGACGTCTTCGTGCCGGTGCCATCATTGGCGACATCAGTCCGCAGCCCAACAGTCTGTCTTGTCTGTCGTAATTACTGCACTCCCGAGCACCGGAGGTTTGATTGGAGCTCTGGTTCCACGGCCTGCCTCTGTCCGTGCGAAGACCGACGTAGAGGCCCAGAGACCGGACAACGACAAATCTTCATTCCACTCCAAATTCACGAAGCGACAGGCCGTGGTAATTCCGGGCCGTGTCATTCTGAACGTGCTGGCAGCATGCTGAGATTTACGTGACGTGAAGAGATTGCAAGTGTTCGCAACGCCTGTTCTCGGAAGTGGGGATGTGCTAGCATGCCCAGCACACCACTTTCATCAGGCAGTGTATCCTGCATTGCTACATCCTGCGACAGACCGTCTCGTGGATGTGGCAGAGTGCATCAAGGACCACTGGGGCAGTTGACTTGTGTCCCTCTACCACTCGTAAGACCTTGTGAAGAAATTGGGCACAAAGCTTGACATTTCAAACCTCAGGTCCCTACATATGGTCAGTGTAGGGTTTGGATGAAAGAAAGGGATTCCAACCGAAGAGGCGGTGGGGTCACTCCGTTTAGGTCCTCCTTTCTCTTGTGCCATGCAGTATCTCTGAATCGAAGGGCCGCTGTTGAGGAGGTGTCTATGATCGCACCGCCCTCAGACGTGGGGTGGTGCTGCGTGGAACCCCAATCTGGCAGTTGGTCTTGGTGTGCGGGCATAAGCTTGAGAAGCAGAGCTGGCGAAATGCCTGCAGTTCGTCTATAACACAGCCCTCGTGGTAGTCCAGCAATTTTCGGAATCAGGGGCTGCGTCTGGAGACCTTGCAGCTTGCCCACGGCGCGAGGAGCGCTTGTTGACAAAGACGGAGGTCGCGAGCTCGAGCCGCCCTCGGAAGACGGGAGAACAGAGCTCAGCGCTGCCAGCGCTGCGCAGCAGTCGCTGTGAGGCTGAACTTGTTCTTCGGCTGCGACCTGGGCTTCGTCAACGACGTGGCCAGCAGCGGGGTGTGCAGCCCAGCTGCCCAGCCAAAGCCGGGCCCAGCCGGAGCCTTCCCGCGGATCAGGAGCGGCGCCTGCTCTTCGCTGGAGAGACGGTCGTGCAGCAGGGAGGCACTGCCACAGACCAAGCTCATCTCAGCAGCCGTCCGGAAGTCCTGCACATCGAAATCGGAGCCAAAACCTTCACAGATCTTCCAGCGTCGCCTGTTTGGGTTTCCGAGCAGAAGCAAAACAAGTCTTCGGCTAGAAGGCCCCGTTTTTTTTTCAATGTCGACCTGCCCTGCGTCCAGGCCGAGTTGGTGGGGAAGGGTCATGGGGGGGGGTTCGGAATGGCGGGAAATCTCGGAACCAGGAAACACAGCAATGTTGCAGCCGAAGCCTAGATGCACGAATTTTGAGGGATCTTCCTTCCGGCGCCGGCCTAGAAACTAGCTTCTGCAGAGTTGTCGTTTCAGCACGAATCTGAGGCCGGGACCCTTTTCGTGCTGGAGCATGGCCGTGTGAGCATCCAGGTTCGCCGGGAGTCGAAAGCTTTATAGGGCGAGCGACAGTTGGAGCAATTTGGAGCATGCTGCGCTTGTTTCTCAAGCTGCAGTTCTTCTTTCCTCTGCCGGTGCCATTCTCAGATCGCTGGGCTTGGAACTGTGAACGAAGTTCCGGCCGGAAACTGCTTCGGTGTTGGATCCTCAGAGCCTGCCGCCTGCACTGCGTTGCCTGCTGCAGCTGCATGTTTTTCCATTTTCCGTGGATGAGCTCTGCTTCTAGGAGCGGACGCTGATCGGCATTGCCAAGGAGGCGAATGCTACGGTCCGGGTGCGGGGCCTGGAGATAGAGCTGAAAGTTTGGAGAGATGTCAGAGCCCTCCAGCCTTTCTTCGAGGTTTTCACTCCCTTCGCGCTTGTGCTGGCGATTGCCAGGCGTCGATTGCCCACCAACCGTTAAGAGCTTTGATGAGCCCAAAGTGACTGTGGTCGGTGGGATGTTCTCGTTCTGTGAGCAGTGGTTTTGTTGGCTGCTGGCTGAAAGGCCTTCTCTGCACAAGGCCCTCAAGAAGCACCCTGTTGAGACGGCACGCCGAGGGAGAAGGGAGTCAGCAGAGCTGTCAAGAGGATTGATGCGTCTGGTCTAGTCATGTTGCAGGAACACTTTGAGAAGCTGAAGACCTCCCCACAGGGCGGCCGCATCTCCGGCAGCAAGGCGCGGCAGGAGCAGAGCTGCAAAGGGGATGTTTCGTCTCGTTCAGCTGCGAGGTCCGCCACGTAGAGCTCTTCCGGGCCTGCGGGTGCTCCTCGCAGCTTTCCCGATGGTCTTCCTTGGGGAGGGTGGTCTTCCCTTTCTTGGGAGGACGGGCTTTCTGGAAGCCTTGAACGCCCGCGTGACCTCTGCGATGTATCTGTGCCGGCCTCGTGCCTTCCGAGCGGTGCGACGCGGCGCCTTTTTTGAGCTCTGCTCCCTGCACTGACGCAAGCCCTGCAGGCACGGGCAGACGGTGGTCGTGGAGGGCTGCGTCGAGCAAGATCCGTGCATGTTCGTGCTCTCAGGCCGGCGCTGAGTGGGGGCTGAGGGGGGGCGCTCTTCTCATAGCTCCTCATAGCTCTGCGACCCGAGGCGGCATCGTCGTTGCGGAGCGCGGCGGCTGCGCCATCGCCCGCATCTCGCCTGGGGCAACCTTCGGGGAGCCCGGCTCCCAGGAAAAGAAGCATGGGTGCGGGCGACCGCATCTCCTGCCTGGATGGGTGTGTTTAAGGCTGGCGATGTTGGGTCAGTCGCCTGCATGGCTCTCGGACGCTTCGTATGCTGGTGCTGTGCTTGGAAGCCGCGGGGTGCGCCGCTCTCAGGAGCGTGCTGTCACTATCCGAGCGGCATCTTTGCAGCACTCCGGCGGACTGCGCTGTGTGACTGGAGAGCACCTCTGGAAACCCTTGGAGTCAGGTGACGCTCTGCTTCCTGATGAGCATCCAATCCTCGGTGTTTCATCAGGCGCGCAGACGTCCGTGGCATGGAGCGAGCACTGAGCAAGATGGGACACTCGAGCCTCTGAGGCTCTGGAGCAGTTCCCAGAAGAGAAGGTGCCGCAGTGAGAGGAGAAGGAGATCCGGGTTTGGGTTCCCGCTGCCAAGGAGCGCTTCAGCACTGACATGCTGGAGGGTCAGAAGGAGGGGCCCCGGGTGGTCTGGCCTTGCCTTAGAGGACAGATGCTCATTCTGAGAGAGAGATAGCGAGAGAGAGCGAGCTCTTAGCTGCTCTTAGCTCTTTCTGTCTTTCTCAGATTGCTTGTCAGGAGAATCTTCGAGACTGCTTTACCTGCTGGATCTCTATGCGGAGAAGTTCTCATGACCCCCTGCTGAGTTGCGGTCCCAAGACCAGCAGCACTGCGTGTTTTTGGGCAGTCAGGCGAAGCCGGCGACAAGCGCCTTGGCCAAGCGCCCTTGAATGAGGCAAGAAGAACAGGCCAGGTGGAAACCAGAGCTGTAAGTCGTTATTCCGAAGGCCGCAATCCTGGTGCTTGACGGAGAAATATCGGTGCTGACGCAAGAAGGCGCGGAGGGTGACCGGTGGCTTCGGCTTGCATTCGCAGGGCGTGGCTTGTGTTTGTGCACGGCAGGGGAGGAGCTTCAGGTTCTGACGGCTGGCTGCTGCTGGAACGAGCGCGTGCCGCGGCTGCCTGTGCTGGCTCCTCCCTCTCTCTCTCTCTCTGCCTGCCTCCCTCAGATCCTGGCCGGAGCCAGAGCCAAGCAGACCGAGCGCTTGGTTCCCATCACGTTTTGCGAGGTGCTGTTCGCAAAAAGCCTGCACCGTCTGCTACCTTCTACCGTCGATTCGTGGCATGACAGGTCCGGGTGGTGACCCGGGAGACCTGGGGCAAAGTGATGGCCGAGTTCCCAAGCGACCTCGGCAAAGTGAGGGGCTCCATCCTCCGCTACATGGGCGAGCAGGCCCCTCCACCCTCCCGGCGAAGTTGCGCTCTGCTCCGCCTTCCTCGGTTTCTAGGCAGAAAAGCGCCTGGGTTATCCGCCGCTGTCTCGGATCTCGGCGAAACGCTGAGGCGACGTTTCTGCCTTTGAGGCCAGGGTCCCCGGCCCTTCTGCAAGAGAAGACTGCGTTCTTCTCGGCAGTCCCGGTCCCAGCAATCGCCACCGCTTACTCGCTTACTCGACGAGTGCCGCCCCAACCAAGGTCTCGCCAGAATTTGCAAGGTTAGCCCGTGAGATGTCCGAGACGAGGACAGGTGAAGAAACGGGGATACAGTGGCAATTTCTTAAGTGGAAGGGGTTCAGAGAGCATACTTTTCGTGTGTGATTTGTTGCCCATGTTGGTGCTGTGCGTAACCTGGCTGGCACGTCATTCCTCTCCTTCTCCCTTATACCGGAAGCTTGCACACACCGTCCTTGTCAACAACTGCAAATCGTGCACAGAACCGTCCAAAGCTTGGGATCCCTGGCCTTTGCCGCACCGGAGTTAGCAGAATGCGTAGAAGTCTCTCTTTGGTGTAGCATCCTTATTGCCCCGATATCCTAGCGTTCGTGGCAGAAGGCGGCTTTCTGATTGGGAGTATGGTGGAGTCCCGATTTCTGCAGCTCGAGGATCGTCGAGCCTGGATGCGACATCGTGTGCTGTCCCAAGAACCTGCTGATGATGTGGAATGGCAGCACCGGAGACACCGGGACGGGAATACTCTTTCTGGTCCCCGCGAGGCCAGACTCGCTTGTGAACGAGGTGGTGAGTCGCCACGTCGACATGGAGGCAGAGACCGAGTCGACGCTGGAAAAGTCCCCCTGACGCATCCCATGTAGACGTCTTGGCTCAGCATATCTGAGAAACTAATGGCTGCCGACTGTCTTCAAGGTTCCAAATCATCGAGGAGTCCAAAGAAGGTGAGGATGATGATGATGAGGAGAGCCAGGACGATCTCGTGCAGGACATTCCGCTTCGGCTGTACAGCACCTGACCGGCGCCTACAGTTGGAGACTCTTGGCATGGAGAGGAGATGTACGTTTTCCTGCATGGTTCGGCCACTTGCTTCAGTCCGGAACCTCGGATAAAACGCCTCGAGCCTGCGACCTCCGTAGCCGAAGAGCCGAGGCTCTTTGACCGGCGAGCGGAGCTGGAGACACGGAGAGGCGCGCTTTGCGCCGAATTCTGCTTCAATCCACTCCAATCCGACCGAGAAAAGTCGCGGCAGGTCATCGGCGAGGGCGCCTTCGCAGGAGCAACCAGGTCCCTGCTCCGCATGCTCGCGTGTGGTGTTGTCCAAGCTGTCTGGTGGAATGCGGTTTCAACCAAGCCTCGAGCGGTGTGAGAGCTTTGCGGGGCTGCAGGCTTTATCCGGCGAGGATCGTGGCTGACACCGTCTGCCTCATTCAGGCGCGAGGTCCCTCTGCACTGGGAGGAGGCACGGCACGATGGACCTGGAGGTGTTGCGGCGGAAAGAGATCTTCGAGGCCATGGCGGAGCGCTCGGGCCGGGACAAGGAGTTGCCGGGAGCCGAGCGAGAGCCAGAGCAGAGCAGCCGAGAGCAGCCGAGAGCAGCCGAGAGCAGCCGAGAGCAGCCGAGAGCAGCCCTGCGCCCTCCTTGAGCCTAGGCTGGAGCGGCTGGTGAAGGAGGCACTCACTCAAAGCACCCTCGCCTCACAGCACCGTGGCCCGCAGAAAGGCACAGCCCTACGGCATGACGCAGCTCCGAAAGAGGCATGGGGCCCGGGGTAATGGGCGGCAAAGCGACACAGCACCGATGAACCTGCCACCGCTCTGTTTCTGTTGGAGGCTCCAACGCAGTTGGTCTTTTCGCAATGCTGCGCCGGCTTTCGCCAACTCCTTGGTAACGTCTTCGCCTCGGCTTCGCCTCGGCCTCCCGTCGTCCGCCGCCCTTTGGAACGCTTCGCAAATCCTGGAGGCTCCCGGACGTGGTGCTTTTCCCTCCCAACAGCCTCATCACAGAACAGGCCGGAGCCCAAAGCGACGCGCTCTCTCTCTCTCTCTCTCTCTCTCTCTCTCTCTCTCTCTCTCTCTCTCTCTCTCTCTCTCTCTCTCTCTCTCTCTCTCTCTCTCTCTCTCTCTCCTTGCTTGCGCTTGCGCTGCCTGACAGCTCCGAGGGCGATGAGTGTAAACTTGGACAAAGCGACTTTTACCTCGTCGGGCTCACGGGCACACACGCGAAGCAGCGATTGCACCCGGCCTTCGTCACAGGTGCTGGCTGGACGGGTGAAGGTCGAGGGCGCGGCCGTTGGCTCAGTGCGCATGGGTGCGAAAGCCAAGAGATTGAAAGATCGAAAGGTTGGCACACACTTCAGCACCGTGGGCGCTGGGCAGGCAAGAGCAAAGCCACAAAGTCGAGCTGGGGTCGAGTGAGGACTAGGTGACCCCGACGGGTGCATCTTGATAGTATCCTCTGTATTCCTCTCTGCCGGTCTCTCTGACTCCCTCCAGCTAAAAGTATTTGCATTTACAGGAAGAAGATAGACGCACGATTCTATCCTGTTCCGCTCTTGCAACGTTCTGGTTCGAGGTCTTCGGAGAGGTGGGTGCCTTCGGCCTTTCCAAGCGACGGACAGCCAGTGCTCGCACCTGGGAGGTGCCGTGCTTGGGTGGGTTCTCTGAGCCCTCCCTCCAAGCCTAGTCAGCCCTGAACTCTGTCTCTCCGTGCCTCTGTCCTTCCCTCTGCCCTCCATCCCCCTCTGTCTGTCTCGCTTTGTCTCCCTCTCCTCGTCTTCTCAGGAGGGGTTGGTCTGCTGCCTCCGCTTCCGCGGCACCGCAGCTTGGCAGCATCAGAGCGGTGCGAGCTGAGCACAAATCGAGCCGCCCCAGTGCAATGATAGGACTTAGGACCAGGATCGAACGGCTATCTTGGCTTTGTGTCTCTGTTGGGAGAGCCGCCTGAGGTTGTCAAGGCCGCGGCCTTCGCGCCGGAACCACAGTGTGTGGGTGGGCCAGTGACGAAGACCTCCGGAGCAAAACGTCAAGCGTAAAGCCAACATCAACACAGCCGCAAGCTCTTAAACCCGTAAGACATGACACCCGTGCAAACTGCAAACTAGAGCCTGAAGACTATTGAAGAGCTCAAGACCCACAAACACCAAGACCTCAAGAGCCACAGAGTCTAAAGCCTAAACCGTCCCCACATCACGAACCCTGAGTTCCAACACCTAATTCAAAGCCCTGAAACCCATCACCAAAAGCACAAAGTGCAAGACCATCACAATTAATGGCTAACTCCAGCAAGTGGCAATGTAGTAAAGGCAACAAGCTCGACAAGAGCTTGGACAAACCGACGAATTTGACCAAGTTTGATGGCGACGACAACGACGAGGATGATGACGATGATGATTGTGATGAGGATGATGATGATGATGATGATCATGATGATGATCGTCAGAGCAGATAATCAGGAACGTCGCGATTTCACTGTTGGTACTTATTTGTTGTACGAATACGTCAGATGAAGTTGGCCGGACACCAGTGAGAGCAGCCAGAGTACTAGAAGCACAGTAAAGCGGACACGACCAAGACTATCTCGACGGCAATGATAGAAGCACTGTGAGAAGAAGCAACGAACCGAACGCTGGCTTAAGATGTGGCGCTAGCAGCAGCAACATGCAGCAACAGCATGTTTCATCGTTCTTGCCATCGAAGTTCTCCACGCTTCGCCGCTTCGCCCTCCGCTGCTCCGAGGTTTCCGTTGGACAAGGACAAGTTGGCAACGATCTGGAAGCGGTCGGCGGCCCGAGAGTGTGCGAACTTTGAGGAGGCTCTCTTGAACGGAGCACTTTAGGACGGAGCTGAAGAACCGCAGCACCGAGCTGGAGCGGCGGGAGTGGATCAAGGCACAGAGGGCAGAGAGGGATGCGAAAGAGTGTGGTCTTTCGCCGGGTGGTAGACGACGGCGATCCCAGCTTTGGCACAGACTCCGCTGCTTGGGGGCTGTGCGGCGACCCAGAATCTTAAGCTACAGGGCAGCGCAACTCATCGCAATTCTCCGAAACCTTCCCTCGAAGGTCCGCCGTCCTTCTTCCACAGCTTGGCCGTGCTCCTCAAGGTGCCGAGAGATGGCCGTAAGAGGCGCCCGAGGGCCGAGGGCGGAGTCGCCAAGTTCCGTCTCGCCAGGAGCAAAGCTACAAGCCCGAGTCCTTGATCGTGAAATGCGGCATAGGGCTCAGTCCCGCCGTGCCCACTTTAAGTGCCAACGGCACTTGCACCACTGTTGATGGAGGAAGGGGCAGTTTCATTTTATACTAAACTGTGTAGTCGTCACCATCGGGTTCTTGCATTAAGGGTAAAGAAGATGGATTCAGGTGGCTTCTGGTCCCGCGTCACAATCATTTACAGGGAGTGTTAGCCGAGTCTGCGGGAAGAGCCGAGCCGATCCTGCTGCCCGGGACCGCAGTGAAGAAGAGCAGCTCCGAGGCAGAGTTGGTAAGAAAGCCACCGCAATGTAGACACGAGTCAGGAATCAGGAACAGCATTCCCTATTGGGCCCTATTCCTGACTCATGCCTCGTGCTTGTTATGGACTCGCGCCCGGCTTAGTGCCCTGACCCGTGCGGCTGACTCCGCTCTGATCCTTTACATAGGGCCCCGATTTGGCGCATTGCATACTTTTCGCTGGCGTCCTAGGATTCAGCGGATTCCGGCTCTTGAATGCGCCAGAACACATTTTGGCAGTGTGCTGGGTCTGCTGTTGCAGTGTCGTCTCAAAGAGTCTCCTGTGGGTGGGTGCTGACTGTGCTCCTGGTAGCATGGGAATGCACAGATGGCAACAAGTTTCCCGTGCTTTCCCAAGCCTGGTGAGCCGCCGCGCCTGGCGATGGGTGTTGTGATTTCCTGGTCCTAATGGCATGAGTCAGGTACGGTCTTTCGCTGTTCGGGGATTTCTTCCCTTGGCATAATCTGAAGTTACTCACGCTCGCATCTTGAGGCGAGAAACTCGAGAGCATGATGATCTTCATCCAGGCCAGCTTGGGTGATCTTCCCAAGCCCTTTGCATCGTGTATGTGTGCAGATATGGGAACAGATAGACATACATAGCTGTGTATATAGATAGCTTCCAGTTTTGATGGATCGATAGATCCGGAGATAGATAGGGATGTGCTTCAACTGGCGAGTTTCTTTCTCGATGCGTCTAGTAGTTACTGCAACCTCTGGTTCGCATGTTGCTCAAGTCTCTCAAAAGGTTCAGGCGATCTTTGAATGCACCGTGCTGGATTCCATTTGGCCGTCACAGGTTTTTCCGGGTTAGCAGTCCACGGAGGGTGACGGTACATGGCACAGCGCATAGCAGAATACACACTGGTCAGTCGCTGCTTCGGTTACTGGAGGGCCCATTGTTGGGGGTCGACGCGCAACAGTGCTTTCTGTTGGGTGGTTTCTTCCTGTTCTTCGAGTGGCATTACTTGATCTGGCGGGGTATTGTTGCTGGAGGGCGTATCCTCTTCCAGTTGGTTCTGAGCTTGCTTTGGCTGGCTGAGTGGCTCCTAACTTGGTCGCTTACCCTAGTCGGTGGCCTGGTTGGGTGGTGGCGCCGGACACGGCTGCCATACCGCCGGACACTTTTGCGTTGGTCTCCCGACCCCCTGACTTCGACGGTATGGGTGGCAGGTCACGGTCCTGCATCTGGGGAGCGCCTTGTTCCAACGACAATCGAGAAAGGCTCCGACTGGATTTGGGCTGTGGTTTTGCCAGTGGCCGAGCAGATGGTGACCCCGGCTCATGTGGGAGGAGAGAGTCGCGGGCCCCCACACGGGATTCCAGCGGCTCGTGTGAATTGGCTCTGTGTGCCCCCAAATGCCGAGGAGAATTCAGGCCAACCGGCCCAGAGAGCATGATCCATCGGGGGATATGCGGTCACGGATACGCTTGGCAGTGGGAGTTCCGATGCGGAACTGTGAATTCCAGAGGGAGGTAGATTATCAGTGACGTCACCCAGCTGCTAGCTCAACTGCAAGCGGCGGGGGCGGGCACCTACGCGGTGAATGCTGCGGGTTCCGGGGCAAGGTTGGAGCCGGTTCAACTTCATGTGGTGGGTGTGCTAGCAAGGGCACCAGCTCAGCAGAATGCGCTGCAACCGTCGCACCGGCGGGTGGCGTGGTTCCCGCGCTGGGGCTGGGAGGAAACTCAGGCAACGGAGCCGAGGTTACCAATCCAGAGTTGAAAGCCCTACAGGCGGCAATAGCTCAGCTGAAGGCTTTATCCTTCAGGAAGAAGGATCGAAAGAAGGATCGACAGGAATCGAAGAAAAAGAACAAGAAGGCCAAGAAAGGGAAGAGCAAAAAGAAGAGGAAGCGGTCTTCTTCGACGAGTTCATCGACCAACCGTTCGCGATCCGGATCCTCCGGCAGCACAAGTTGCACTACCAGCAGCGGGTCCGGTCGAAAGCCGCTCAAGTGGTGCGAGCACGGTCATGACCGGAAAGATGAAGGTGGTCCCCACCCTTGCGGAGATCTTGGATGCGGTGAATCGTCGAGAAATAAACCGCGAATTGGACATCCTTTGCCAGCGGATCCTGGCCATCCAGGCTGAAGGCGGAGGCCATAGAGCTGGTGAGCACGCAGAAGTCCCAGGCCAGCAGCGGTATCCTGGCATTGACAAACACCTGATCAAAAGGTTCCGGCAAGGCTGGAGCAATCGCGCCGCCTTGATGAAGGGGACAGAAGGCTCGGGGCCTGTTACACCCGGTCTGTGGGCAGCTTGGCTTATGCACTGGGCAGCCTTATCCTGGGGCCTTATCTTTGTTTGGGCCATGTGAGCCTGACCTTGGGGCAAATTGGAGCTCATCTTGGTGCCATGTGAGCCTTATTTGGCCCCTATAGGCCCTATATGGCCTTGAAACAGGAATAAATTTGTCTCTTATCCGGGGCCGGATAAGAGCTAAATCCGGGGCCGAAAATAAAAGGCAAATCTGGAGATCAATTTGAGCTTCATTTTCCCACCCCAGATTTGAGCCTTATCCGTGCCCGGATAAGAGTCAAATTTCGTGCCTTCGGAGGCCCTGTTGTGGCTCCCTTCGGGCCTCATTTCTGGGGCCTGCCACTTGTTCGGGCACTGTTGGGCGATATGAGGCCAAGAGTGACATTCAGCCCGAAATAAGAGCGAAATCGAAAGATATATTGGAGTAGAGTCCCGAAAGATAAGACAAAACATCCTTCCCCATAATAAGCGTGAAATCTCGAACGATAAGACTGAAATGCACCGAATAGAAGAGTGACATGGTACCTCAAACAAGAGTGAAACGTCCGCAAAGGAAACGTGTTAGAACACGCTGAATCATACTTTTTTATCATGTTCAGGAAAGCCGACAGAAGTACTTCGATGTTGTATTCGTGTTCAGAGCATGTTTTGTGGAGTAGCAGCAAAACTTGTGTCAGGGGACATGAAGAAAGAAGGCAAGAATTTCAACAATGAGCAATAGTCCGAAAGCAAGCGACTCCTTGGTTTTTCAAGTGGGGTTGTATTTATTCGACATGTTAATATTTATATATACATACATCTTACTGGGAAGCAGCTAATGTGGTCAGGGGACGGCCCAAATGAAGACACGCGTGGGCGACGAGATCGGGGTGATGCGCAAGGGCTCCATCTTCGGGGAGGTGGCGGCCGCTGATGGGGTCGTTTTTGTCATTTTTCTCCTCTTCTGGTCTTCTTCCGATGCCACCGGCTTTCTTCTGAGTAGCTGTTTTCGTTTCTGCACGAGACCAACGGCTTGGGCCTCTTCCAGAGTTCGATGGCCACGGCACGGGCCGCAGCAGCCGCCTGCGGCCGCCTGCGTGTGGCCGGTCTTCAGCCTCCTTTGCCGTGTCAGGTCCAGGTCGGCACAGAGAAGCTTCGGCTCCTCCTGCTGCCGCACCTGGCGATGAAACAGGTTCGCAGCTGTGCCGCAGCTGTTCTCGTTTCTTCGCTCTTCGCTGAGCGACTGTCTGGCATGTGCTTCAAGCAGGCGCTTGCAACTGCGGCAGCAAAGTCCGAGGCAGAGGGCCTTTCCTCTGCCTTGCAGCGCAGTGCGGATTCGGATTCTGCCGGAGCGCCGGCCTGCCAGGGCATCACAGATGCCTTCGAGAAGCTGGTCGCAGGGCGGCGTGAACAGGCTCGAGACCTGAAGGGAGATGCGGCAGAAGCCGAAGTCTCTCAGAGTCTCGGAGTAGTCTCGGGAAGCCCCAGGTCGAGCGCGGAGTCCCCTTGTGCGCCATGGGCATCCTGGCCCAGAAGAGCGACGTCCGGGTGCGCGCGATCGCGCGCCGCTCAGAGCATGTACCGCTCTGGGGGCGGCGCTCGGCGGGTGCTCTGAGCGCTCCTTCTCCTTCTTTGCTCGGCTCGCCGCGCTCACCGAGCGCTCTTTCCGCCTCGGAAGGCGCTGCTCGCCGAGCGTGTGGATCTGGAGTGCCCGCCTCGGAGCCTGACGTCTCTGGGCCACTTTGTCTCTGCATGGACTGGTGAGGACAGGCGAGGAGTGGGCGCCCATCGCCGATTCCGAGCCTTCCGGGCCCTTCTTCGGCGTGCTCGCCGCAGGTGCACTCAAAGTCTCGACGACGACGGGGGTTTCCACTGGGCCCTGGTCTTCCAGGTCGAGTCATGGTCGAGATTGGCCCTGCCAAGCTCCCAGCGAGGCGGCGAGGCCAAGGTTGAACGACGATCCGGAGTTTCTTTTTTAACGCTCTTCTGCTCTTCCACGCTCCGCCGTGCCGAGGACCGTCACATCGTGCTGCAGTTGACTGCAGGTGCCATCTTCCCCGAGGTGCCGCGGCGCAGCCGCTGTCGTCGGAACCACACGGAGCGTCCGACCTCGCAGGGGCTCTTGGCCACCTACGGTGCTGTGTGCCGAGCAGAGACCTACTGTGAAGTCCATGCCTCAGACGCCTCAAATGTCTGCTTTCAGGGCCTTCTTGCGCCTTTGTTCTGCCAGGCTTACCGCGTGCGCTGGCACGACTTCTACATGGCTGTCCCGAGCCCGGGGACATGCGTCGAAGTGGACGCGTTGCTGCTGCAGTGTTTCAGGTCGGCCTGAGTACTCCAGCGGCCAACGACTGGCGGGGGCCCTCGAACCGAGTCTAGCTGTGTTGGCTTTGCTCTGAGATTGTGTAAAGGTTCTGGAAGTTCCGGGTACAAGAGAAGGCGCCGAATGCCATAGAGTAGCCACTGGAGAGAGGCACTTTTTGTGCCTTCCTCCGTGTTTGTGCGTCGCCAGGGGACAGTGGAGCGACTCACGCGGAGGCCAAAAGCCGCAGCTCTCCGTCGGAGGTTTGGTCTCTTGATTTTCTGCGAGGCTTCAATCGGTCCAAGGCCTCCTGGACGTGAGCCTCCCGCATGCCAAGGATGTGGAGATCAAGGCCGCCTGGTGGCCTGGTTTGTTCCGCCGAGCCTTCCTTGCTTGCTTCGTCCTCCTCGGGCGCCAGGCCTGGAAGGACCAGCGAGGCCGTCGCATGAGCCAGGCGAAGCGGAGCGACAGCCACGTCATCTTCGAGGCTTGTTGGCAAGGGGTGATGCTGGTGAAAGAGGGTGCGGGCCCGCTTGCTGTCTGTGTCACATGCTGGCCAGGCCTTGCCACGGGCTCCACTTCCACTCCTTGCACCCGCCCGGTTCGTGAGAGCCAGGGTTCTTGAGCGAGGAAGGATGGCTTTCGGCAGGGCTGGGTAGTGCTTCAGCCGGATAGCAAGTTCACCATGTCGGCTATCGACTGTAGCACTTGTTGGACTAGTGTGCATTGTTTTCCTGCTGTGGCTCCCACGTGAAATGATTGAGGCCACCAAGAAGTCCTTGTCGGAGCTGAAATCCGGGACGATCTTCTTGTTTCTTGTTTGTTGGTACTGATGCGGAAGTTCTTTTACTTTTGCTTCTCGCAGGATGCCAGATTGGGAAGCACAAACAGGCCACGCCAGAATCGCCAGACCAATCGTCTCTCGCCTTTTTGAGTTTGAAACTTACCGAAGAGCCCGGGAGGTCTCTTGGCATATTCAGGTGGCAGACTTCTGCTGCCGAAGCTGGATGAGAAAGGCCTCTCTGCATGCTGATCGAGTCTGTCACCGTTAGATGATGGCGGCAGCCCCATGCTTGCACCACGACCTCCTCCTACTACTCACTACCACTACACTACCACTACAAGTACCACTACTACTACTACTACTACTACTACTACTACTACTACTACTACTACTACTACTACTACTACTACTACTACTACTACTACTACTACTACTACTACTCACTACCACTACACTACCACTACAAGTACCACCACTACTACTACTACTACTACTACTACTACTACTACTACTACTACTACTACTACTACTACTACTACTACTACTACTACTACTACTACTACTGTTGCTATTTGGCTTCGGGGCTTCGGGGCTGCCTCTTCGGCTTCGCACTGCCAGGTAGCAAGCTGCTGCAGTCCAAGTCCGAGCCGACGCTTGTGGAGAAGAGCTGAAGCTGATTTTTGCTGTGCGACAGAGGGAACTTCTGCATAGTCTTGGGATGATGTAGGTGTATCATTCCAGGTTTAATTCTTGTTCCCGATCCTGCCCAGCCTTCCCTCTCCGGGTCGGCAGATTAGCAGGCAGCCGAAAGCAGATGATCGTCAGGTCAGGCGCATGTAGCAGTTGCAGATTGAACAGTGTCTTCCTCTCTAATCGGCATACCGTATACCAATTTGGATGGTGTTAACGATGCACTCAAGGTGCTCTGCTCCCTGGCACCGTTGTCTCAAGACACACGGTGTGCCTCATGTTTCACCACTGAATCTTTCTGCGGTGGCTGCACCGTCGCTAGCTTGTAGAGCGCATGCGGTGCAGAGCCACCTTCGACGAGTCGAGACATTCAGCGAGATCGTCGCAGGAAGCAGTTGAACAGTTGAGGGCTGGGTGGAGCTCGTATTGCACCTGTGTAGGACCATGTCTTGCCAAGAGCAGCCACTGCTTCCCGGATCATCTGACACTTTACTCCTCCCTCGCCCCACATGATTGTCTTTCCGTATAAGCAAATGTTGTGTATGACAAGCCAACGGCTGCAGGTTTTCTGCAAAGGCTTCGGAAACATGTCATTGAAGCTGACAATATATCCTGGTTTCCACAGTATCAGCACCTGCATGGGATACCGTCCCATGGATCTCTGAACCCGGCAGCGGAGCCAAACGCTCCTTGCTTCAGCGCAAATCTGCTAATGGCATGTCAAGTTTGGCAAAAACGAACCAAACAAATGAACATTCAGCGAGAACTCTTCAACCCAAGACTTCTTCGCAAGCAGTACTAAACATGAAGAGCCGGCCGGCTGGGCACCCCGACCCCGCACAAAATATGAACAGCCGGACCAAGCCGGCCAGGCTTTACTGGCTATGTTGTTGTTACGTTATTACATATCCTTTATAACATTAGAGTTTGGTATGATTGTTGCAAGACATATGTTAGAAGACGAAGAGTATGGTGTAAACGATCGTGGTTGTAAGTGCTAGGGTCTCTAGGTGAGAGGGAAGGTCATACGGTCATACCTAGATCGTAATTTCGTTTGCCCGGTGCTATTTCTTGTGCTTCTGCTTGTGCCCACGGGGTTACAGGCATGGGGTGTTAAAGACTATCCATTCTATCTTTAGCTCCCATCTCGGCAGAACGGACGGGCGACGGGCGACGGGCGCGCAGCGGGGGCAAAGGAGCAGAGAGGCGAAAGGGCGCCGGGGAGGGCGCAGGATGGCGAAGGGAGGGGTGCTCTCTAAACAGGAAGCAAGAAGTTGACTTTGGCAATCTTGTCCGGAAGAAATGCCTGCCCAACACTTGCTGACTGGGGGTTGCGATTACCAAGCGCTGAAAGACATCCCAAGCACAAGCTATAGTTATTTGCTCACAGTGTCAACCAAACTATGGCATGTTGTCGTCATCGCTTCTACGTCAAAGCGTTTGCGGTTCGTCGGCGTGTCGTCGCAACATGGTCAAGTCTTTGACTTTGGTTGCTGTCGCCGTTGCATCCGTGTCGCACCGTCGTCTCAAGGTCGTCGTGTGGTCGTTGTACCGTCGTCACATCGTTGTCGCACAGTATTGTATCGTCGCCCCATGCTAGCCGATTGCGCTCATGTGGCAGAAAGAATTCCAAGGGGCAGCTTCCAGAGCTTTGTGTGAGCTATAATCTTCTGTGAAGCACGGCAGCGAGGAAGTACATTGGCGCTCACCTCTGTGCCCGAGTCGCTCCAGTGTGTGCGACATGACGCAAGTGTTTGGTCCGCAATCGAACAAAGCAAGGCACCGGGTGCCGAAACTGCACCACTGAATCGCAGTATTGACAAACTTGCTCCGGGCTACCTGGAGCAGTTGCTGGACATGTTTCGGAAGATACCTGTGAAAGCTGTTTAACGTGGTCGCTCCAGTGTAAGCATGAGTTGAACACTCTGATGTTTCGCACGTTGAAGTAAACGAGCCCTTGTCGTTGGAGATGTAGCATTAATTTCAGCGAAAACAACATCCTTGAGGACTTAGGATCGGTGTTGCAGTGCCGGGGCACGAGGCGCGACAGTGTATGCTAGGGCTCTGTGAAAACCTCGAAGGTGTTTCAGCTTTAGCAAAACATCGAAGGTGTCGTTTTCGCCAAACGTGATAGCTTGCTCTCGAACATTAGGGGCAGGCATGGCGTTGAAGAGCACATTGCAAGTGGGGGGCAGCGCCACTATACATGGCGGCGAAGCTTTTGCAATTTCCTTAAGGCTCAAAGGGGTCCTCATGGATCCCTGGAGTCCCATCTAGTCTAACGTAGTTGGTCCTGCAGTGCCCCGCAGGACTGCCAACTTGCAGGTCTGTCTCCGTAGTCTCAGCGCGGCAGCGAAGAAAGGACCGTTGGCGGGCCAATGAACTTGCCGCGACTTTTCTGCTTAGTGCAGGCCAGGCATTTTCACCAGCACCGGAAGACTCTTGGAGCTCCCGTCCCTCGAAAGGTGCTGTCGCTGACCTCGGCCCTCAAGCACAGCGCGCGTGCCAACTCCAGGACCTTCAAAGGGACCCTTACTTCGTGTCGTCATCTCTATCTCTTGCTCTTTACATGCGATTCTCACAGCTCCGCCGAGCAGCGACCACCACGAGAACCGGCCTCGAGAATCTTCCACGATTGCAGCTTCTTCGACCGGGTTCTGTTGTTCTTGAGGTCTACTTCCTCTTCCTGGCCGTTGACAAGGCTTGTTATGCCAAAGTCAGAGATCATTTTGCCCCGGAAGTCGCGACATTCGCAGATCTCCAACCTGGACGTCTGGTCCTCCTTCTTCGACTCTGCAGATTCCGACAAGTGCCCTGGAAGTGGCTGATCGCACTGACTTCGCGGTGAGATGCAGTGCAGGTACCGCGCTTTCGTGCATTGCAAAGAGAAGCAATGCGTGCAGCAAATGCCGCTGTCCCGCAATGCTCAGCTCCGGTTTCTTGACTTCTTTCGGCGCCTCTCTTCGCAGGGCTGGCTCCCCCATCGTGCCGGTGCCGACAGCTACGCGGTCGAAATTCCCCCACACCAAGCACTCTTGAGGTTCGGCAGCCTTTTCTTGTAATGTCAGGTGGCGAGCTACTACTGCACGGATTTGGTCTCGCCGATGAACCAGGCCGGATGCTGGAAGTTGGGCCGAGCGCCTGCAAGCCGCAACTTGCACAGCTTGCACATGTTTTGCGCCCTCTGCAGCTCTTGAGCTATGCCTTGAGCACGGACCTTGGCCCTACAAATGCTGGGAGCTTGGTCGCTGTGCGTTGCATGGACACATGCTTTCGAAGTCAGTGCCAGGCGTTGGATAAGTTTGCCTTCGTCTCGGATTCGGCACTGCCGGCAAAGCCCTTCTCGGAGGCGGGGCCGTGTTTCAACACCAGCAGACTCCCGCTGTTTCCGCTGCATAAGCAAATGCCCCCTAACTACCATCGTGCGTGCATATTGTTTTGGGAAGATGAGCTGCTTAGATTCTTGGATGTGGTGTTCTCTCGCACTGCTTGTAGCTGCTGCTTTGACATCCCCGCAGCACAAAGGCTGCGGCCATAGCAGACAGCGGACTGCCCAGACCAATGACCGAGATCAAGCACAAGGAAAGTGACGGAGCAAGACAGCACAAATCTGGGGCCCAATCGTTTTTGAAGAGGCGTTGTGCTGCAGAAGGCACATGATGTGTGAGTCACACTACGCGATGTGTAGGGCAGCGTAGCTGGTCAGCATATGCCATGTGTAGAGGGTTGGCCTGGGCAGTCTGATGTGGAGACCCGAAGCGCCAACATCGGCTTTGGGCATGAACGAATCATACCATGGTGACATAGTGTGAGGGCCCGGCCTTGAGATGTTGCCCTGCGCAGATCTACCACACTCTGGGCCAGCGGGATGGTTCGGACTTCTGCGCCTGCCCGGCACAACTTAAAGAGATGTGCTTCACTCTGACAGGTCGCTTGCGAACCTCTGCAATCTGCAATCTGCCGTGACCAGCAAGGTTTTTTTGGTGATGTCGGTAGAGTGATGGGATGGCAGCGATCCTTGTCCTTGCGCTTCTCTCACTTTTCTCTCTTGTCGTCGTGTCGTGTCTGCTCTTCCCGTGCCGTACTGTGAATGTCGGGAGTCGGGAAGTGCAGAAAGGGGCCGCAATAAGCGCATTAGCACGAATGGCAAGACAAGACGTGAACTCAACTCAGAAGGGAAGCCGAAGCCAAATAAGAGGTACACCGCCTTGTCAGACATGTCTTCCACTTATTTCAGAAACTCCAAATCTCGGTCTTCCAGTCAATCTTCCATCCAGCCAGCGAGCAATGCACACCACGGGTAGCTGTTTCTGCTTCGAAAAAGCACTTGCAGTTGAACGTGATCGTGAATCATGGGGTGCTGTCCTCCAGCACATCAAAGTTTGGCTCATCACGAGGGCTCCAACGCAAGGCCAGGCCGATCAGCATCCTCTCTCATGCTGATGATGCTGGCTCTTACGGGGCTGGGCCCTGGGCTGGCAGCTCTTGACCCGACCCTACGCCCGTGACCGCGACCAGTCCCTGCCGCTGCTGCTACAGCTCATTCTGCTCCTGCTGCTGATGCTGCTGATGCTACTGTCACGACTGCTTCAGCCTACATTGCGCTTGTTGAGCTTTCGTCTTCCGTACAGATGGCTTGGCAGGTTTTCCCGCCAGGAGAGTGGGCAGACCTCCCGAACGCGGATGGAGGGGGCCTCGAGGCGAGCTTGCTTTCGAGGCTCCAGACTCCGCTCCTGCCCGGGAGAACTTCAGGTGGCTGTCAAGGTGCACCAGTGGATAACGCTTTCCCGTGCCCATGCTGAGCGGGCATCGGTGTCTTGGCTTGAAGGAACCATCTCCAGTTACCCTTGTTTTGGAAGGAGACTGGTCAGCCAAGGACATGTGGCAGAAGGGCGTTATGCACAACTTCATGTCATACTTCAAGATGAACCAGCTCGGGTGCGCGGGAAACATGTCTCAGGTATGCATGGACCCGCACATGCCCAAGACTTCACGTGCTCATCTTTGCAGGTGGAACAACATGCTGGACAACAACTTTGCCGACAACCGGAACTGGGGATGCCATCCGGCGGATTCCATCTCAATCAGTCGCGAGGAACGCAAGAGACTTCTGGAGGTCTTGATGAGTTCTGGTACGTGACTGCGCTGTTCCGGCCTTGGCAGATGCGTAGATGGCTTCCGCATGGCCTCCCAGCTCTTCTTGTGAGGTACGGCACGCTGAAGAAGGTCCATGCTGAAGGTGACCAGTCCATTGAGCTTCCAGAGTCTGGAGCGCAGCTTCACTGAAGCTTCGCAGCAGTGTTCTGCCTTGAGATGCAGAGGTTCACAGGGTCGCCTCTGCGGATTGACAAAACGGCGGGCTGGCAGGCCTAGGTTGAGCTAGTCGGCTCGCTTGCTCAGTGCTTGGGCCTTGCCGTCAGGGGAAGTGCGATACCTTCGTGATTTGGGCAAAGCCTGTGCCTTAGCCAGCAGGCCAACGGTCTAAACTTGCTGATCTTGCCGTGCGAGGTACATGAACAGCCTCGGCAGAAACGAGCAGCAGAATTTGATGTTGTTCCTGTGGCATGCTTGTTCAGGCAAGCTACAGAGGTGGAACTTGGTGAACACTGGCAGCAGCATCACGAAACCCACACTAGATCACTTGATCACCTAGAGCCTCGGAGTTATGGAGTCACTGCCCTCTCTCTTCTCATAACGTGGCGTCAGAAATGGAGACAGGGGGCTCGCGTAAACTGATTGGCCAGGTCCTTGGATCCGCCTTCAGTCCCTCACGGTGGCAACTGGGCTCGGCCGCGACCCTCCGTCTATGCAGTTCTCCCGATTTTTTTCTGTTCGCTCTCGGTTTGAGGCCCGGTTGGTGGGACACCATCTCAACGAAAGGCATCCAAGCCATTAGGAACTCAGCCGCTTGGCGACCGACGATACAAAAAGCGCAGTTTAGGAGCATGGGAACGTTAGGAACACGATTTCCTGCTCAGGACTTCTTGTTTGTTCGTAAGTTCATCGACAAGCCAGCCCTTCATGATGGCGGCGACTTTGCCTCTGCGTCATGCCCCCAACTGCACCAACGGCTCTAGACACTGGCATCTTTGCGTGAAGTGCTTGCCCGCAGGTACACGAGGATCGTGGTGCAAGATATCGCAGCAGCTCCCACAGCCTGACATTCTAGGCCTGTGCCTGTTGCAGAGGAGTTTTGACCTCTGCTGTTTCACACATACTTGCGCATGCAGCTCAGACAAAGAAAAAGCGACACAGCTGGGTGATGCGGCGCCTGTTCTTCCTCACGAGTACTGTCCACGGACTCGTAGACGTTTTCAACTGCTTCATTTTGCTTTGGGGGGGTGCGGTTGTGCTCTTCTCCTACGTGACGACATATATGGATTATGTGGGCGTAACAGGCCCCAAGAGGCCTAAACCCTCAAAGCCCTTCAACCCACCACCTGATGCAGAACTTGAAAACATGCCTGGGTCCTGCCTCTGCTGCCCGGGCTGAGGGTAAGAGCTTGGGCTTAGGCTCAAGTTGCGAGAGTGTCTGTTTGTGGCGGGGGGTCTACATCTCGCGCTGGCCCCGGCAAAAATGAACGAAAAACACTTTCAAAAAGCACGCTCAACAACAAGAGTCAAAAATCAAAGTGAAACGATCATTCGACACCCGTTCACTTGAAATTGGCACCCAGTTGAATCGAAATCTACATATGAACTTGTGGAGATTTGGAAAGATCGAGGCGACGTACCGTTTTCCTCCAACGTCCACGTCAAATCCTGGATGTCATCCACAAGGATTCACGAAATCGAATCCGCTGCAAGGTGCGACAGTGCGCTAGATCCGCGCTATTTCGGCGCTTGCAGAATTGTACCGCAACCCACCCCAGAAGACCTTGATGGCCCACCTCATCACAACCCAAGACCCTGGAGCAGCACTAAACGACTGGATCCGTGTTACGCGCAGTTTTCGAGGGGCCATGCTGCTGGCCAAGCGTACGTGATCAGGGCCGAGAGAGCTATTACATGCAGAACGGCACACAGCTCGATCCCACCATCGGGCGAAGGTGTGTAGAGGTCAACAGCGCCGGGAATCTGAATTGCGTGGACGTGGTTTTATGGGCCTGTCATTGGCAGAGCAGGTCAGATTCCTATCAAAATTCGCGTCGCCGCCAACAGCCAGTCAGCAGCATTAGCTAGCACTAGATCAGTGCTACCGACAGCAGCAGCTGCAAGGTTTGCGCGCTGTTAGTATTCTTAGGAATACGCATATGCATCCTTAACCACCGGCGTTCACCACTACGTATGTGTAAACCATTGTGAACCTGTACTTTCCTTTTGCCACATGAAGCGGCATGCAACTACAGCTGTATCTACATCAGTGTCAGGAACAGGCATTTTGATAACAACCCTATTAATGCTCCAAAACTACTTCCAGTATCCATACCAGTGCTGTTACCAGCACCACTACGATTACCAGTGCCAGTACCAGTACCGGTACCAGTAGCGGTACCAGTACCAGTGCCAGTGCCAGTACCACTGGTACTTGTGCTAGTACTAGTGTCAGTTTTAGGACCAGAACTGGTGCTGGTGCTACTGCTAGTGCGAGGTTGTTTCCAGCCAGGAAGAATCGAAGCCATCCCGGCCTAAATGTGCCAGGGGTTTCGAGATTCGCACTAAGTTCAAGAGCCAGGGTTCTTTGGCTCTCGTTGTGAACATGATTGACTCTCATGAGATGTAGTCTGCCCGCTGCCTTGCTTCTTCGGCTTGCAGTACCTGGTTTTGGGGGGGCAGAGGTCTGCGGTGCAGGTGTAGGGCGCTCAGAAACCGCGGGCTGGGCGAGAGCTCTTCACTACAAGTCTCCGCCAGGCTTGGAATCTGAAGCCCTTCAAAGAGAAGAGGCGAATCGCCGCAGACGGATGGCCAGCTTTGCATCCAAGAGACTTGCGCAGGCCAGAATCCTCCCCACATTGCACAGAAGGTCTGGCACGTCTCACACTGCAGGAGCGGGCGGCTTTTAAAAAAGACCACCCTTTTGGATTCTACGCAAAGTGCGCGGCCAAGCACGTTTAGGGCGTCAGGGATCCTGAAGTCGTGCTTCGCGAGCCTCCCAACCTGTTCAGGTACGCTCCCAACGAAGACGGAAAGGGACAGAACGCGCTGCGCCAAGTCACAAAACGTGTGCCGGAGGGCACCGCTGATCCTCCGTGTGAGAATCCTAAAGCCCCAGAGCCTCAACGCGTGCCGCATCACGCATCACAGCAGAGGTCTTCAAGTGGAACTGTGGAATTCCTGGACGGGCCAAAGGCCCCTGGGAGGCTGCCATCCGAGCTCCCCCCGTGCCCCTGAACTGCTTGCACTGTGCTCTTCACAGGGCGCCACCTATGCCCTCACTATGGAGTTCACAGAGGACTACCCATCAAAGCCGCCCAAGTGCAAATTTGCGCATGCGCAGCCGGCATGTGGCACGTCCATTCCTAGCTTCTCTCTTTGTCTTTCAGACCGGCCTTGAGATTGCCAGGTGCACGGCAAGCCGCTGTTCCACCCGAACGTTTACCCTTCCGGAACTGTTTGTCTTAGTATCCTAAACGAGGACGAGGCCGGGTCGGTTCCGGGTCGTCTGGGCTTCTGAGTGCTGCTCCTGGGTCGATGCTATCGAGTCCTTTCAAGTGGAGAGGACTGGAAGCCAGCCATCACGATTCGGCAGATCCTGCTAGGCATTCAGGCTGGGGGCTCAGACGTCTGCAAGCTCTGAGAAAGCCATGAGCTCGTCTTTCAGGACCTCCTGGACAATCCGAATGCTGCGTCGCCAGCGCAGGCGCGGAGTTGCCCCCTAGGCTGGCTGTTGTGGCAGCTCTCTCCTCCAAGGAAGAGCCATACCGGCTATTTTCCACCGACAAGAACGAGTATCTGAGGTGCCCGGGCAGAGAGTCAAAGTCAATTGTTCATGTCATGTGGCGACAAGAGGATTTTGATCTATGCCAGGCGGGTGAAGAAGCAAGTCTCGGAGGTGGCAGGGGGTGCCCAAGGTGGAAATTGAGATGAGGGGAGGCGCGGCTTCCTCCAGCCTGCCAGCTCATTGCCTTCGCCGAGATAGGTTGAACTCTCCGTGGACGGAGACGTTGCCTAGATCAACGTGTGACCGCACGACTCAAGCAAAGCTGTGCAAAGCTAGACGCGACTCGGGAAACGGGCGAGGGCCAAATCAGTCCGCTTCGCTTCTGCGCAGTTCGAGCGGTCGGGGAGTCTGCATGGCCGCTTGGTATCATGTCGTCCCACGTCTGGTGTTGCTGCTCTTTGAGGGCTTCAAGCCTGACTGGCAATCACGATCATGAAGACTGCTGAGTGGAAACCCTGCCTCTCCAAACTTACCCTGCAGCTGTCGTGCCCGACCCCACCCAGCCACTACACATCTCACGCGCGTGTCCCCTCTATTGCATCCACGGCGCTGCCAGAGTTTCACACACCGATCACAAAGCCTGCGCCGCAAAGGCAGCTCTCACCAGGCCTGGGGGGAGGTTTCGAGGTGATGTTTGGGGACGAGTCTGCAACTCAAGCTGCTCGCTTCAAGGCATGAATCGCCGGCCGATGGGTCCCGGTCCCGGCTGAGACCTCAGGTCTACGCTGAGCTCCTGGAAGCTGAGGATGGTGCAACCGCCTGAGGGCCAAGAAGGTGAACATCTGGAAGTATCAGTTCATGGGCCCAGACAAGCTGGGGCCCTGCACCACACCGTACTCTCCGGGCGCCTGCAGTTCTCCCCTGCGCTCTTGAGGTGGCTTTGCAACCATCCCTACCACGAGGCAGCTGCAGAAGGCAGGGCGCCTTGGAGTTGCCGTGCCCTTCCTGGGAAGGTGAAGTTCACGAGGCCCTACTGGCTCACCAGGAGCTTTCGAGAAGACTTTCCAAGAGGCCTGTGAGCTCTATCTGAGCAGTCCGGCAGGAGAGGCTTTCCGAACTTCCCCAGATCGGATCCGCATCAAATAGGCCCAAAGGGGGAGAAGTCGTCGCCCAAGGTGTGAGCGCGTAGCCACGCTGCCCTGTTGCTTTGATAGCACGAGTCACGAGGTTCTTCGATATGTCGAGGTTGCACGCACAGGACCGCGAGCGGGCACTCTTGAAGTGATTGACCCACGGCATGAGCACGCACCACCTTTCAGTGCAGATACCTTCTTCTAGCTTGGCTCAAGTGAATAGCCTTCAAATTGACCATGCTGTGGCTGGTCGTGCTTGCCCAGTTGGCCTCTGCAGAGCCCTGTCCGAGTGGCCCCTTGGGGGTCAGCCTCGCGTGCCTTGCCTACTGAGATGTTGGGCTCGCTTCAAGACTTTGCTTATCTGTGCTTTCACGCTGCTGCTAAGGTGTAGCAAGCAGGCTGTTGTTTGTGCTTAGCACTTTTGACCAGAATGTGTCGCTCAGCAGGTGTCTTCGCGACGATGCCGACTGGCTCAAGGGACTGAGCCGCCAGAAGGAAAAAGCATGCCGCTGTGCTGTGAGCGCCGCGATTCTTGAGCCAGCAACAGTTGGCAGCGGAGCCCTGGTTCCGTATGCACTTTGGGCGACCCTACGATAACACTGCGCACTCGTGGTCGCGCGCTTCAGTGAACAGCGTGAGCTTTGAACCTTCGTGGACCGCTCAGGCCTCTGGGTGGGGATATGACTGGCAGTGGCCGCAGCAGTGGAACGGCCCCTGGAATGAGCCAGGAGCTGACATGAGCTACACCTACATGACGAGCGATGCTGCGGGCTCATCTCAGCCACCGCCAGGAGGGAGACTGCTGGGGGAATCAGCGAGTCTCCATGGCCCAGAGACAGCGGCGGCGCCAGCGAGCGCCGACACCACTTCGGTCCCTACTACCAGATTGGCGGCATCCGAGCGAGAGGCAGGCGCAGAGCATGATCCGTGGCTTGAAGCAGCCAGGCAGCTTGTCAGAATGACGACGAGGAATCGGCTCTCTCTGGAGCGACCGGGCCAGATCATGCAGAGACCGCCCGTGGCGCGGCTCCAGGAGAAGCGAGGTCGACGACTTGGCCTCCCTACTCTGCCAGCAATGCCTACTCCGACCTTCGGATTCGGAGCTCAGCATCCCTATTTTCCTCAGGGACGTCCCTCTGGGGTGCCACCTGCGGCTGCTCTTCCACCTGGAGTGCCTTCTCTTCTACCTGATTCAGGACTGTGCGGACCCCGAGGTGAGCTCCTCCCGGATTACCTGTTCAGGGACATCCTGGAGGCTTTGCGAGCTGTGCAGCTCCTTCCTTTGCTCCGTTGCCACGCATCGGTCAGGGAGTTCCATGGCGAGGAGATTGGGGTTCCAGTGGCGGCCCCGGGGGATACAAGGGAGAGTACTCAGACCCTCCTTCGTGGCCGGGATGGTCATACCGACGTCAGTGGGTGACTTCCATTCGACGGTGGAACAAGCAGACGGACATCCCGGTGTTTCGTCGAGCCGAGAAAGTACTTCGGACTTTGGGCTGGGAGCTCCAGGTGGACTTCGAGCACCTCACCGAGACCCAGCTGGCCTCCGAGCACTACTTGGAATACATCCTGCAGATCATCGAGATGAAGGCAGGAGTTCGTGAAGATGATGAGCGCCGTCAGGCGTACCGCAAGGTGATGCACGAGGTCGGCCGGCGACGTGACGAGACTTTGGCTCAGTTTGCCATGAGGCGCAGTCGGGACTTCACCCGTGCCGCCTCCTTTGGAGTCCAGCTGCCGAATGAGTTCAAGGCGGCCATGCTTCGAGAAGGCTCCGGATTGACGGAGCAAGGCCTTCAGAACTTGACGGCACTGATGCAAGGAAGAGATCACGACATCGATCTCCTGACGGCTACTTTGGCACGAATGGACGTTCGGGGCGACAAGATCTCCGCCTTCATGGAGCCCGGCGACGACGACGGGGCCCCCTCCTTCATGGCCGGCCACTTGCAGGACGAGGACGGCCTTTCGGACGGCGACGATGAGATCCCGCCGGAGGTCCTCGAAGACGAGAGCGTGCTGGCCGAGCTCACGGAGATGAACTTCTCGGAGGAGCAGGCGGCCTACATCTTTGCCATGGTCGAGAATCGTCCACCCTTCAGGAAGAGATCGTGGAAGGAGAACAAGAAGTTTAAGGCCGACATGAAGAAGGACCGCGGCAGCTTCGTCAAGAGTGCTGGAGGAACGGCTCACGGTCCTCGTGGGCGTCTAACCAAGGAGCAGCTGAAGAAAATCTCCAAGTGCAACACGTGCGGCAAGCGAGGGCATTGGTCAGAGGACTGCCGTCAGGGCTCATCTGTCGGAGCCAACGCGGCTACCTCCGCTCCGAAGCTGTCTGGGTTTTGCTATCTTGGCGCATCAGGAGCCTCCCACTACAGCTTCATGGCGTGGAAGTCAGAGGACCAGAGCTTCCACGAGGCACCATATGAAGTTCCCTGCTGGACCTACTTGACGATTCCCCCAGGGCTGGCAATCCTCGACACCGGGGCGACTCAGGACATCATCGGGGATCGTGCCTTGGCTGCCTTGGAGGACGAGCTCGCCGGCAAGGGACTGCGAGCGGTGGCGGTGCCAACCCCTTCTTCGGCGCCAACAGGGATAGGAGGACAGGCGAAAGTCTTGAAGGCGGTCCTCATTCCGATCGCCTTTGGCGGCATACCTGGGGTTGTGAAATTCATCGTCATAGAAGGGCCCGTGCCTCCGCTCCTTTCGGTTGGTCTTCTAGCTCATTTGGGCGTGAAGCTGGACTTGAAGGCCGATGAGATCCAGTTCGAGGCATTGAATGTAAGGATGCCGATGACTTTGTTGCCGTCGGGGCACCGTGCAGTCCCACTTGTACAGTGGGGTGGCGGTCACTTTGATGTCCCCGATACCGCGAAAGAGCAGTATCAGCTTCCCAAGGACGCCTTCATGAAGAGCTCAGTTTCGTCCGCGTACACAAACAAGGGTTCCAGTGTTGCTGTCGAGTTTGTCGAGCCAGAGAATGTTGACATGTCTAGCCGGAAGCATGAGAAGCCTGTGAAACATGTTCGATTTCAGTTACCAGAGCCAGCTGCTGATGCATCTTACCAGTGCAACTCGGAGCGAGAACTTTGTGACCGTGCCGCCTTTGCCCCAGCTGCTCAAATGAGCCAGTGTCTTGACGTGTCAAGCCCGAAATTCGAATTTCCCCGCGGCCGTGATCATGGAGAACTCGTCTCGCTCGACGAGCGGCGCGGGCAGCAATCTTCCGGTGGAGCTCATGACGAGGGTGTTTCAGATGTGGGAGATCATCCGCCTGGGCTACCGCCGATTGGCAGTGGCCGAAACCACTCAAAAGAGCGTCCTATCGGAACGGCGAAAGTTTCTGACGGACGATGCTCAGGAGCCCGGTCGCTGCTTGCATCCGGGAAACCACATCAAGAGAGCCAACCAGTGTGCCAGCTGGACGGTGTGTGCCAAGTGTTCGGCGAGAACGTCTTACACTCCAAAGAATCCCCGGTCCAAGGCCAAAGCACGAGCTCGACGAGACAATCCTCCGGACCTGGGGACGGCGTTCGTTCCTCCGTCGAGATCTTCCTTGGCGACATCCTCGACTACCCGAACGGCCACGGCAGCGGTCCCGGAGGCGGCGATTCACCCCGAGCTGAATGCAACGTTGCAGGCCATGCTGTCGGGCTTTCGCGACGTGTCCAACTCCTTGAAGGATCTAAAGTCAGATGATGTTGATGATGCAACGCGGGATGCAAGCCGACGTCTCCAGTCTCTCCCTCGACCAGGTGCAGGGGCTCGTGAACAAGACGATCGACGCGGAGATGCAGGTGGACCAGGAGGACGACACCACGCCGACCAGCTGGGCACCAATGGAGCAGGAGACAAATCCCAACGAGTTCGACCTTCCAGCCGGTGGCCAGTGAAGATGACGTGGTGTGCGGTGGCGACTCAGCTACTCTCCTGGGTGCAGCTGACTGAAGGTTTCCAGCACCAGGTTCGTCAACTCGGTGGAGACGAGCACTGCTGGATGGTTGGATGTAGAGAAGCTGGAGACTGGTCTCGACCCGATTGGCCAACGGAGGTGCAGAAGCCGTGGGTTCGCAACTCTACGGAGAAGGTGCCGGAGATGAATGTTGTTCTGTGGCACCGCTTGCACGACGCTCGTGGGGCCCTTCTTTGTCAAGGCCCCGGTCCTCTTGGGACATGGGAAAAAGGTGACCAGGTCGAGATCTGGTATTGTGATCGGGCGCTGGCCTCCATGCACCGCGCCCTCGATGCCTCCTTCCTTCCCCGAGGATTCGATGAGCTTGCGAACCCTTCTGAGCATGGACCTTTGTGGCTGGTTCGAGCTCCTCAGTTAGATGAGTGGAAAGACTCTCCTGCGACAGTTTACGTTCCCCAGCATAGTTACAACGAAGCTCGAGAAGCTCGCAGGGGGACCGTAACCCAGGTGCACAGCAAGCGCAGGAACCTTCGTCCAGGTCAGCTCGACTTTGTGGAGCTGTACCACGACACCGCCGCAACGCCTTTGTTGCAGCTTCAGGGCGCTCGGGTTCCTTCTCGGAGCTCCAGGTTCAACGAGTCTGCGGGCTGGGATGTGACGGTCGCTGGAGATCGAGAACGCTTTCGAGGTTTTCTACGCGATCATGCTCCGACGATGCTGTCTGTGGCCCTCTCCGAGCCCCCTCAACGAGAACGATCCTCGGCAGCGAGTGTCTCGTGAGATGCAGCGGGACTTCGGCCTGGAGGCTATGAAACATCAGGCTCACGAGGGCAAGGTTTTCCTCGTGGAAGCCCCTCCGGAGCACAGCATTTGGTATGGACGGCGACTTGAAGACGTGTGCAAAGGCTCCGAGCTTCTGGTGGGAAGGACCGCGAGAACCGGATGGGCCACCAACTCCAAGCTGCTTCATCAAGCCATGCGACGGAGAACAGAAGACCCATCTACTACATGCACCACAAGCGTCGGGTCCCATGATGATGAAGCCACCATGCAACGAAGAACAGAAGACCCCTTTACTACATGCACCACAAGCGTCGGGTCCTATGTTTCAGCACATGTGACCACATCTACTACAAGTCCCGTGGAGTACGAGCAACTGGCGAGCAGGCTGCCAGAGGCACAGGACTTTTCGATGTCTTCGTGTTTGCGATTACTTCAGTCAGTCAAGTGGCCAGCGGCGTCCAGAAGAAGAAGGAGCTCTGACGCTACCGAGAACTACGTGTTGCTTGGCCAATTTACCTACGGCCGCTTCTCTGGGATTACTCGTGCCACTCGATCGCTGATGCAGGTCACGAATTACCTCAACAGCTTCATGACCTTCCACGGTGCGAGCTCAGTGCGTTCCTCCTTGGTGGTCTCCAGCGGAAATCGCCTCAAGTATCACCAGGACGTCAATAATGTTGGAATGAACCACAGCATCGCCCTGGGCAAGTTCAATGGAGGTAAGCTGTGGACCGAGGACGAGGACGGAGCCGAGACCCGGGAAGTTCGTCCTGGGAAATTTGTCAAGGGCAAGCTCCGCACCCACCGCAAGCGAATGGTGACTTTTGATCCTCGGCGCTACCATGGAGTGGAGGCGTGGAATGGAGTTCGATGGAGCATTACGGCCCGGCCTTCCAGACCCGATCTTCCGTGAACTTGGATGAGGCCAGAGCTCGAGAGCTGAGTGCCTTCGGGTTCAATCTGATGGAGCAAACTTCTTTGAGCGGCTACACGAGCGCCTGCTCCCAAGCTCTATTGGACACCTACCACGCTTGGGAGGCCACGGATGCCTCCTATCCCATCATGGACAATGAAGAGGAGGACGTTGCCGAGGCAGTGGATGAGTCGGAGGATCACGACCTTCCTGCCGATGCCCGGGAGGTCCTGTCGCAGTCCCAGAAAAACCTCGTCAAGAAGATCCACGTCAACACGGGTCACCCGCCTCGAGAACGTCTACTTCGAACACTCAAGGCGGCAGGAGCGAAGGCCAGTGTGCTGAAGTATGTGCGGGATGAGTTTAGCTGTCAGGCATGTGAAACCAGACAAGGTCCGGATCATCGACGAAAGGCTCAATGCCCCCGCACGTTTTCGTTCAACAAGGTGCTCTCCGTCGATGTGTTCTACTTCCAGTTCCGCGACCAGAACGTCCCGGTGCTCAACATGGTGTGTCACGGGACGGGCTATCACGTGGCCCAGAGGATCGAAAGTGGCCCCGGTACTCCTACTGCAAATGCTACTTGGAGGGCGCTTGTTAACTCATGGATCAAGTATCTGGGATCTCCGCAAATGATCATTACCGACGGAGGGAATGAGTTTCGCTCTATGTTCGAACGAGGCCTGGAGCAACAGGGCATTCTACATCACGTTACGGCCCCAGAGAGTCCGTGGCAGAACTCTCGAGCAGAGAGGCACGGAGGCTGGCTGAAGCGGAAGCTGAAGCAGGAAGTGGACGCTGGACAGCTGACTCTCAGCTCGTTTGACGAACTCGACGACTTCATGTCTCAACTCTTGGCCGCAAAGAACAGATGGTTCAATGCCGGTGGCTACACACCGGTACAATTGGTGTTTGGGGAGTTGCCCCGAATCCCAAGCGAGCTCCTGTCCGATGATGCTGGAGGTTTGGTGCCGTTGTCGGATGCCTATCGCGACCCAGGAGGCCTCGACGAAGCAGGTGCGGAATTCCGCCGGCGAAACGAGATCAGAGAGAAAGCCAAACAGGCTGCTTTGGAAGCCACGAGCAAGGAGGTGATCCGCCGCGCTACCCGCTCTTCTTCGGTGCCATCTCGTTTGTGGAGCCCGGGTCAATGGGTCTATTGCTTTCGGCGAGGCAAGGCAGGGGACACTTTGCATCCCACACCCCGATGGGTTGGGCCGGGACTGGTGGTTCTCAACACGAGGTCTGTGGTCTGGGTAGCGATGAGGACTCGACTTTGGCGTTGCTCTCCCGAACAACTTCGCCCGGCCTTTCCTTCGGAAGTGCTAGGTCGAGAACTTGCTTCGGATCCAGGTTTGGGAGCGCTCCTTCGTCAAGTCGTTTCTGGAGGACACGCGGGAGCTGTGGACGTCAGCAAAGAATTCCCCCCTTGGAGGAAGAGAACTTGCGCCACATTGAGCGCGATCAAGAAGGAATTCCTATTGCAGAAGGAGCTCCTCTACGACACGATGCTGAAGCTACACCAGCCCCTGTTCACGAACCTCCAGTTCCTGCAGGCTTGCTTCCAGCTGCTCACGTACCTCCTCCTTCTCCAGCAGTTTTACCTCCCAGACAAGCCACTGAATCAGTGCACGAGGGTTCAAGGAGATCTTCTCTTCAAGAGCCAGCGCAGGAGCCGGAAGTGCACGAGACGCTCCCCCCAGTTCCAGAGGACATGACGGTGGACCGAGGTGCGACACGTGATGTACTGCAAGATCGTCCCGATCCCCAGCTTCAACGAGACTCCAAGGTCCCCCGGAGAGGGCAGCACGAAACTTCGGCTACAGGCTCTTCCCAGAGACCGAGTGAGACAGACCTTCCTCTAGCTTCAGGATCACAAGGCACAGAGGCGCAGATCTCGCCCCCACTGGCAGGCCCCGCTCCGGGAACACCTATGAGAACTCTGCTAGATGCTGTCGCTCGAGGCCGCAATCCTGCACAGCCACGCCTCCCATTCCACCATGTCGCTTTGCTCGAAGAGCTTTCTCTCCTCGAGGGAGAGATCTTTGAGATTGATCTCATCGGAGCGACTGGCCACATACACACGGGAGCCATGCTGATCGAGCGTAAACCATGAGGCTAACTCATCATCGGCTGGCTCGCTGCCGGACGACGGATCCTGAAGACGAAAGCCGTCAAGGTGCTGTACGGCAAGGAGGCGGCTGAGGCCAGGCGGCGCTTCCCCGAGCGAGTTCTCAACTCGAGGATTGTCAGGAGAAAGAAGCCCCAGCCCGGAACAGGCAACTGGAAACCGAAATCCAGGTGGTGCATAGCTGGGCACGGCGATCCTGACACGGCCGAGTTGTCCACATTCTCGCCTACGCCAGCCACTGAGAGCATTATGGCCTTTCTTCAGACCGGTTTGAACTTGGGACATCACTTTTCATTCACGGACGTCAAAAACGCCTTTTGCCAGTCCGACAGGTTGAAGCGTCCCAGAGGGCCAATTTTCGCCGAACGTTGTGAGGGATTACAGCTGGAGCCCGGCGCGCTGATCTCCATAGAAGTGCCAGTTTATGGGCTGGACGATGCTCCAGCTGCCCGGCGCAATACCGTGACCAAGTTTCTCCTGGAGAAGGGGTACGTCCGAAACTTGGTTGAGCCCTGCTGGTGGTCTTACTTCGACAAGGCAGGACAACAAAAGCCGAGCTCAAGTGCTGATTGAGGTGGACGACTTCATTATCAGCTGCGATCCCAAGGTGAAGGACGACTTGCGGGCCAGCTTCGAAGCAAGGTTTAAATTTGGCAAGTGGGAGAACCACGAGGCTGAGTATGCTGGGAGAATGGTCAAGGTGATGTCTGACCGCATCCTCATTCACCAGGAGAAGTATATCACCGAGCAGATTGTACCAGTTCCTCTGCAGAAAGGCCGTCGATCCCAGAAGGATGCCTCGCTGGGAAAGGAGGAGTTTGAGAACTTCCGAAGCGCCATCTACAAGGTGAATTAATTGGGTGGCCAAGGAGACCAGGCCAGAAGTTTGCGGTACTGCCTCACTCATGGCGAGCAAGCTCAAGGATGCCACCATCGAGGACGTCCTGGTGCTGAACAAGAACATCAATTTCCTGCGCACCACCGCCAGCAGGCCCTTGACCATCTGGAAGCACGATCCTCTCGACATGGCCTTCTTAGCTGTGTCCGACGCCGGAGGGACAGGCTCCAAGTTCGACACCATCGATGAGGACGGCCTCCCTTCTGACAACACTCAGGGAGCCTGGATGGTGCTAACAGCCAGTTCATTGCCTGTCGGGAACCAGCGAGTGAAGGCCTCTCCACTGTCCTGGAGGTCAAGCAAGCTACGTCGCAAGGTATTCTCCACATTTGGTGGCGAGACCCAGGCGATGCTTCAGGCTCTGAACGAGGTGGACTGGCTGCAGATCATGATCCGAGATGCTGCTCAGCACGACGTATCTTTGAAGCAGTGGCGTAACTCGCTGTCGCCCCACATGCTGATCATGAGAGGCGATGTGGAGCTGCTAAAGTTGCTAAAGCAGCCCCAGTGTGCTGTGACGGACGCTAAATCACTGTTTGACTGCATCATGAAGGAGCACCCCCAGGGGAAACAAGACAGAAAGTCGGCGCTGGAGCTAGCCATTATAGTGAAAGACTTGCAGGACTCTTGCTCGATGGTGCGCTGGGTGCCGCATCAAAAAATGCTGGTCGATGCCCTGACCAAGGCGGACCCCATGAAGGCAAATGGTGCGATGGACCAGTTTCTCCGAACGGGGACATTGAGCTTAGTCGACATGTCTGAAGAGCTAAAATGTAGAGCACAAGACGCAAAGTACAGAAATCGCAGCCACGCTGCTTCAGTTGCTCGTCTGGTCAACGAGTACCAGAAGGATGCTGAGACATTCTTGTCAACCCTAATTTGGGGAAGCTGTAGCAAGCAGGCTGTTGTTTGTGCTTAGCACTTTTGACCAGAATGTGTCGCTCAGCAGGTGTCTTCGCGACGATGCCGACTGGCTCAAGGGACTGAGCCGCTAGAAGGAAAAAGCATGCCGCTGTGCTGTGAGCGCCGCGATTCTTGAGCCAGCAACAAAGGTGTCAGGCACGCGCCGGATGGGCCATCGATCCATCGATGATCGGAAGACTCGAGGATGAGTGCCTTGGACGACATATCAGTTGAATATTGGCACTCTGCACGACGTGCTCCCGCAAGATTCGCATCTCAGCCAGGGTCATTCAGCTTCGAGCTTTGCTGAAGAAGGCTGGCTCCATGTGGAAGGAAGTCTTTCGAAAGCATGTGCTTGGTGCCTATAGGAGTTTTCTGAACCTGGCTCTCTGGTGTCACAGCTGAACATGGAAGATCACAGCCTGGTAGCACAAGAGGCGCATGCTTTCCAGAACAGTTGTGCTCATGCAACATGACAAACTTATCCGTGAGCATGTTGACTGCGGGTGCTGTCAGGGACACGCTTCGCACCCTGGTCGTGATATGAGTGAATTGTCGGGCTCCGGTCGACATCGAGAAGGACCAGCTAAGCAGTGCTATGGCGCAACCCCAGCAAGGTCGATCATGTAACGGACTTGATGTTTAATTGAGCGCTCGACAGGGCTACTACATCCACCAGCTCGACCAAAAGCCAGCCATGTGAGATCTAAGGTGCTTGACGTCCAGTGTTGACTCTGCTCGCAAACTCTATTTGCTTCGGCAAACTCATTGTAAACGCATCCTGAAGCCACAGGTCAGCGCTGGGCCGCCGCCCTGTCCCAGCTGCCGCGGGATGTGCAAAGGCACCCGGTGTGTTGATGTCAAGTTCGACACGCCTCTAAACAAAGACGCACATGAACACCAACCCCCTGGTACGAGGCCGGGAGCATCGTATGGTTGCGCGTGGGCCTGGCGCTTCTGGCCGCTACTTTGGCATTCAAGCACCCACAAGTGCGGGGGCGACCTTTGTTGCCGAGAACCCTGCCTGGTCACTGGACTCTTTCCTTGGGCTGTGGGGAACCGCAGCTTCTGTCCTCATTGGGACATGGCGCGTTCGGCCAAGTATATCGCGCGCGAGTGGGTCAGGAAGAGCTGGCGGTGAAACACCAGGCTGAGGGGCTGCGCAAGGAGTGGAGAATGCTGAGCTGGTGCCAGCACCCACACACCGTGCGCTGTTTCGGTATCATGGGTGTAAATCAGGACTTCCTAGCCATGGAGGTGCTGGCTTGCAGCTGGAGCGAGGTCCGACTGTACAACGGGCTTTTGCCGGCTCAGGTTCTCGCCAAAATGGCGCGGGAAATCTTAGAGGCGCTTCAGTTCACTCCAAATGCATTATACACCGCGACGTCAAAGCGGACAACATCATGGCCTCCGCAAGGGACCCTCCTTTCCGCTCAGTGCTGGGTGATTTCGGGCTGGCAACGTATTTGCCAGCAGGCTCGTCGTTGAAGGGCGTTGTCGGGACGAAGCCGTACTTGGCTCCCGAGTACTTCTTGTCGAACTGTGAGCGTGGAGCACCCTTGGACATGTGGGCATTTGCGCTCACGATCTACTTCTTGATCTACGACACAGTGCCCTGGCGTAAGGGAAGGCAAGAGGAAGACATCGACGTCCAAATCCAGCGCCAGCATGTCAAGCTGCGGCTTTATTTGTCTGGATGCAAATCAAGCGCATTGGGACTTGTTAAGGGCAATGCTGTGCTCGCTACTCCTAGATAGCTTCATCGTCATGGCCACCATCTCCATACGTAAAACTCCTCGCCACAGTTTGAAGGTTTTCTGGCCTTTGGTAGCTGAAAGCTCAAATAAAAGAACCCCAAACCCGAAAGTTGATTTCATGCATGAAGACGAGCCCAAAAGCACTCGGTTTGAACAAATTATGTTCATGTTCATGTTCCGTTGTGCAGAGCCGTTGAAAGTTTGTTCCTGGTTTTGTCGTGACACTTTATGGAGCGAGGTGGGATGCTTGCGGGAAGCACTACAAAGGCTTTCTGCAATGGTGCCGGCGCTTGCTTGAGAGAAAGGTTTCCCGGCGTTTCACCGCTTCCGCTGCCCTTGCTGCTTTGCCAACATGAAAATGTATCTGCTGTGTTTGGTCTACATGTTGTGTGTGTGTGTGTGTGTGTGTGTGTGTTAGGTCGAGCTGTGGCTTCCCTGCCAGGATGCCCGGAAGGGCTCCGGATGGCAGGAGGCCCGGCCGCTGCCGTCGGATGGCATCGAGTAGGGAGCCCTGGCGGCAGAAAGACAGCGGCGCTCGTGGCAAAAGGAGAGACCCGTGCTTGCAGCTGTCCGCTGAGCCCAGATCCAACGCGCTTTCGTCATTCACCCTGTACGTGTTGGTTTCCTACAGTGTGCTTCCAACCTCAGGTTCCCAGTTCCAAGTGCGCACCACTTCCGCTAGCTTCTGGTTGTAAAAAGCAAGCGCAAGCTCCAAGAATTGCCTTTGATTGCCAGTTCCTGCTTCGCACGAGCAGATCGGTTGCAGCACAGAGCCGGACGGGAGTGGCCCGTGGCCCTGTGGTTTTACCGCGAGTAATCGAGCCGAGCAAAGCGAAGATCTAAAGCTTGGTCATGGCAACCTTGCGCTGCCTCGGAGACCTCTGTGGCGCGATGGATCGGCTCGTGGTCCGCTTGAGGCGAGTGCTGCAATGCACACAGAGAGACTTCTGCCAGAGCCAAAGCAGCACCTTCCTGCGGTTCCTCTGAGGATAGGACGCCGAAGTGTGTCGTAAGTCAAACTCTTGGGGGGAAGATGTCTTAAAGGGCCTAGAGAGCAGCTTCCCATGGGACATGCTGAGATCAGGGGACACAGGAGCTTCTGTTCTCAATTCCTTGCCGCCCGGTCAAGGCGGCGCTTTGCTTTGCGCTGCGGCGGGCGCAGCTGGCTCGGCAGACGCGAGTACTGGGATGCGGCCTATGCTTCGGGGCGCTATGCGCAGACCTACGCATCTGGGCGGATGTGAAGAGGTGAATGGCAGCTAGGGCGAACTTGTGACGGCGCACCCAGGAGTGGAACCAGACCTGCGAAGTGATCTGGCCGCGGCGACCTTATACCAGAACTCAGCACGTGCATGTGGAGACCTATAACCTCTCATTGCCTCAGGTTCGTTGACAAGCTTCTAGAAAACAGACACGGCAGCAAAGTGCTGCACGTGGGCTGCGGCAACAGCCGCCTTGGAAGAAAGCTGGTCGACGCTGGCTTCAGTAATGTGGCTTGGCGGGAGAAGCCGGCGAAGTTGGTGAAGTGGACACCTTTCGTGTCTGCTGAGCTGGGCAGGTCATCAACGTGGACTACAGCTCCACAGTCATCGACATGATGCGCAAGCAGGCAGCGGGCCCCAGTGCAATCGCCGGTACAAGCGCGTGTGCGCGCGTGCTCTCCTCTGTGTGGCCGGCGCTGCTGCATGGAAGGAGCCGGAGCTCACGTGGTGGTGCGTGGACTGCGCGGAGCCCGGGGCGCTGGGCGAGGACGAGTTCGACGCGGCCATCGACAAGGCCGAGTCAGAGCTTCAAAACTTCTCGCGTCGCTTCTCAGCTGAGAAGAAGCACCACGGAGCTTAACGGCTGTCTGCGGCCTCCGCGGTGAACGCTCCGGGGTTTGCGGTTCCGGCCAGGGCGCCTTGGACTCGCTCTTCGAGGCGGGCTCGGAGGCCTTGCGCCAGCGCGGCTGCGCCATGGCGGCCGAGGTCCACCGGGCGCTGCGACCGGGCCGCAGTTTCGGCTCTTCCCGATACTTTCGGCTCTGCCTTGTGCCTTGCTCGCCGATTCTGTGAGGAAGACTGGTGGGAAGTACCTCATCATCAGCAATGGCGGGTTGGGCTCCGAGGTGTTGGCGACTCTCTTCCGCAAGGTGGAAAGTGAGGAGATCGAGGGCTACACCTGTGACCTCTACTACAAGCTCGTCACCGTCCTCCTATGCACGAAATGATTTCTGCGGTCTCTGCGATTTCTGTCGGAGCTCACCCGAGCGGCGTGCAGCTGCAGATCGCCTTGCTCCGATGCCGCCTCCTCGTCGGCCTCGCGGTACTCGTCCCTCTGCAACGACTTGAAAAGTCGGCGATAGTCCACGTTCGGCCTTGGGCCTTGGGGCATCATCATTGATGCCGACTAACTCGGACGGGCTCACTTTGTTAGAGCTGCCCTTGGGGGCCTTCAGTAGTAAGTACATGAACATGACGCCGCATCACTGTTCTGTGAACAAAAGAGACGAGCCGCGGTGGAGAGAAGAGGAAGGCGACACGAGAGATTCTTGAATGCTTTGCTCATCGCCGCAGAGAGCCTCAAGGGTGCTGCCAGGCAGTGATTCATGATTCCTTGACTAGAGAAATCTGCAGTTAACCCTCACCTCCTTGACTCGAGAAAGCTGCACGTTGTCCACACACACAGATTCGCAGCAAGACATCGTGCTTGTGTGGTTCTCCGATGCGATGTAGCTCATGGGGGTGTCCCGCGAGATTTCGGAGGTGCGGGGTAAGACGGGTAAGACATCGAAGGCATGGAAGCCACAAATGAGCCTTGCTTTAGAGTGCGGAGAGGCCCTTGCCGGCCGCCCCAATGTTCGTGGCCTTGGCCTTGGCTCGGCCTTCCTCGATGCCAGTGGCCAGCCGCCAGGGCCTTGGCAACTTGGTGTCAGGGCCGCGCACTTCTGAGTTCTGCAGGCTGAAGGAGGGCCTCCACTGGGGCCTGCAGAAGGACATCTGCCAGAAATATCACGTCACCAATGGGCTGCACGATCTGGCCTTCGGCATTCCGGAGTGGCCCTTCGAGCAGCAGCCAAGCCCGACCCGAAAAGAGCGAAACGAGCGCGCAGCTTTGGCAGGCGGCATTACAAGTCCGAGTGGCTGGCGGGACGGCGCTCCGCACCGTTGGAGCACTTGCCCGCCCAAGACTACAAGGTCCTTTTGCAGGCCCGCAAGCACTTCCTGAAGGCAGGCACCGGGGCACCGTCGGGCCAGAAGTGCGGCAGTGCTTCTGTGGCACAACTGTTCAGTTGCAGGCGCGCGAGCAGCTGCGTCTCGCTTGGAAAGTGCCTCGACTCCACATTGGGACGGAAGACGCTGGCAGTCCGAGGCTGATGCACGGCTACCGCCCTCCAGCCGACGGGCGGAAAAAGCTGTCGAAGGATTCCACGAGTTTCCTTGTACAAGAGTGTTCTGATGCCGATTGGAGGATGCCGCGCGCTTCCTGAGCACCGTGCCCACGCCACCCGCTGCTCCCACGCATTCTTCATCTGCCTTGACTGCCTTGTTGGAGAAGCGTTGCGTAGGCCGGGGGGAAACGTCTCAGGCCAAAGAGATCGATGCGGGGCTGGGCCTTGTCGACCGCGTGGTCGAGCAGCAGAAGAGTGCAGAATTTGAGTCTCGGCCGAGTGGCCGAGTGTGAGAGTCTGCGAAGCTTTCGAGCCTCCAGGTGTTTTTCCTTGCCGTGTCTGAGACTTCTTTCGAGGAAGACTGGGCAAAGGACGTGGACTACCCCAGTCGCCGGCGCCAGATGTTGACGCTCCAAGAGATCCAAAACCTCGCCCGCAACCTGGCCGACATGTCCAGGACCGCCGGACCGCGGCCTCTTGAAGTCTTGAGCTAAGAGGCTCGAAGATAGAACTCCTCCCCCACCGGGAATCATGAGAGTAGCTTGGAGATTGCAACTCTAATATTGACCGAACGGCACAAGGAGTGCAGTACAAGGCTTAAGCCTTAAGCCCCTGTCCAGGACATGCGGCGAAAAGGCGGAGAGACAAGGGCTGACAGACCTTCGAGCGCGATCATGAGGAAAGCCGTGCCAGTCGTGAGCTTTCAGTGAAGCTACAACACCCGACGCAGTCGCCACGGCTGGCCGGCACAGAGCAAAGGCTCAAGCAGGGTGCCGCGAAGCAGAGTTCAAAGACAACTCAAGCCACAGAGCGTAGCAAGGTGCAGTCGTACTGCAGCTGTTTGACACAGGCAGCATCACGCGAGTGTTTGCAGTTTTGCAGCCCTCTCTCGTTTGGGGTTTGCTACTCTTACTTGTACAGCACATCCGTGCCGCTTTCACGCCCCCCCCGACGAATGTGAGGAAGGCGGGAGGGATATAGATATAATTAGTGATACAGGGAATCTATCAGAAGCTTAGTAAGTTCGGTGTCAGAGTCTCAGAGAGGCCCAAAGTCAAGGCCGGACTCCAGAGGCGGATGGAAGGTGCGAGCCTTCCGTGGCATCCTCGGACCGGAGTGGCTGTCCGCTAGAGTGCGCTGAGGCCGCGTGAGCAACTTCAAGAAGGCGCTCCGTTCCCTCGGAGAGGTCAGCCCTCCGTGGCTTCCGCCGTGTCGTGCGGAGGTCCTCGCCGACTTCGAGAGCCGGCTGCCGGGGGCGGACTTCGTCGCCATCGACACGGAGCTGACGGGCGTGGACCTCGAGGCCCAAAAAGCCGGAGGTCTCGGCGACCGAATCCGTGCCTTTTTGAGCGTCCTTCCTTGCTCTTTTGTGCTGGCGCTTCGTGTGACGCCGGCCACGTGCGCCTCAGCCAGGGGGAGATCGACTCCTTCGACGACTCGGCGCTGTCTCGCCTTGACCGGCACTGCCGCATCGCCGAGCGGCGGCTCGGAGAGCAGAGAGCGGTCGTTAGTAAGCCGGAGAGAGTCGCACCCGCGCCCAGAGAGGAGAGCTGGGAGCGCTCTCTGAGGTACACGCTGATCCAGCTGGGCTTGACCTTGGTCAGCTCGGCGCTCGGCCGTCCCCACGCGGCCCGGTCCCCCTTGAAGGGACCGGAGGGGCTGTCGGCTCTCTCGGCTCAACTGCTCAGGCCAGGAGCGGAATGGCGGAAGGGAGGACGTCCTGAGCTTCGCGAGCTACAACCTCTTCGCCTTCCCATACGCCACGAAACTCAGTCTGAAACTCTTTCTTCAATCATCTGCGAGCTGCAGAACCAAGAGGGATCTACAAAGTTACAGGCTTTCATGTGATGTGGAGAGCCACAGGCTGGCAACGACCTGATTGGACGTGACCAAGGCTTCTTCTGCCAGGTGGGGTTTCCACTGACGTTTTCCGCAAGCCTGTGGCCCCTGTGGCACCTGTGGCACCTGTGGCACCTGTGGCACTGTGACGAAGGCCTCCGCCCTGCAGTTCAATGCACGCAACAATGTGGACTTTAATACGTGGATTCGCGATGGAATCCCGTACATGAGCCGCGAGGCGGCCTCATCTGGGTCCTCTGTTGCAGCCGCCTTTCCTCCATGGCCTTCTGAGGATGAGCGCCGCTACAAGAAGTACTACGCCAGCATAGGAGGCATCCACCCTCACGGCAAGCCGACAAGCTGCTGTTGAAGATGTACCAGCAGAGCCGCACCCTCGCTCCTCGTCGGTTGCCTTCATTTCTGTTGTGTTGTTTGGCTGCTTCGTCAGCGGTCCGACAGGACAGGAAGGAAGGGATGTTGGGCGAGCGGGAAACCCCATCGATTCCATTTTGATCGCGATGTTGGGACTGGCGGGGACCCAGAAGGAACGTGGTTGTGGAAGCAACCCAAACCCGCACTTCCCACGAGCGCACTTTGCTGCTGAGCTCAGAAACAAAGCCGTGGCCAAGGCTAGGTCTCCCTTCAGCCTTGCGTTCGATCAAGGTATAGGACAAATGAGCCAGCACAACAGTCCTCAAAAAGAGCAATGGAAAGGGACAACAGAGCGGTGAGGCGACGAAAGACATCCCGTCATCATCTTGTCCACTGCTGCATGAGGATGAAGTGCAATGACGGATTGACAGATCGATGGATGGGTGGGTGCGTGGATGGATGGAAAGATGATGCGATGATGATTGTGGTGATGATGCTGATGCTGATGATGACGATGATGGTGATGAGGATGTTGACGATGCCAATGATTATTACGATGATGTTAACGACGACGAGGATGGTGGTGAAGGAGAAGAAGAAGAAGATGATGATGATGATGATGATGATGATGTGAGTGCCGGGTTCTCAGACCCGAAGTAGGCCGCATGAACGCCAGTAAAAAACACACCCAAGCATCTGCAGAATACTCTCATCACCCAGAGCCCGAGCACACTTTGCGCAGACCCAATCGAGAAGTTGCAAGTCTCTGCACGCACTTCCGTGAAGAGAAGCTTGCCTCCTTTGAGATCGCCAGGCATTGCTGATGAGAAGGCAGAATGGGCTGCAAGCTGCGCATCCATTTTTCTGAAGCGTTTGGTGAAGGTTGGCCTCTTGCGGCTTTGGAAAGCCCTTTGTGCTCGGCAGCTACCATTCGCTGGGCGTCCCAGGCTCGAACAAGACCAGACCTGGCTTGCCTGAAAAGCCTGAGGTCGTGCACTGCCCGCTGGACCTCTTCTTCTTGCTGGCGGCCTTCGAGCAGGGCCCTAACTAGACCGGGCCTGCGGCTGCCTTTCCGACCCGATACGTTCCAGGCGGCGGCCGCTGCCTCGCAACGACCCGCGGGCCATGGCGCAGATCATCCGCCACTGTACGCCCAAGGCGAGACGCAGAGACGGAGAGACACTGCCCGCACATCGCGACTCTGCAGCCTCGAGAGGTGGTGGACACGGCGCACCTTCACGGTGCCCTGGGCGGCTTCAAGCGCCTCGGCCTCACGATGTTCGCGAAGGATGCGAAGGCCGGCGCATCAAAAGGAGAGTGCAAAACGCAGTGCGAAGCAGTGCATGCTGTGCGCAGTGCGCATGCAGTCGTCACGTCGCAGTCGCTACAAAGGCGAGGCACCGGGAGTTGGCGGGGAACGGGACCGTGCCCCACCTGAAGTTCCGCCTCGTCTCGGAGACGGCCAGCCCGGAGCCGCAGAGCGACGTCAGAGCGACGCAGTGCAGACCCCGCCGCTTTAAAGGATGTATTTAAAGAGTATACAGCTGCTCGGCCCAGGTAGGTAGGTGTGGTGTTTTCTAAGATCTTTCTGTTGCCTCCACGTCTTCTTCCCGCTCCGCCCCATGCGGCCCGACCCGACTTGTCCGCCTTGCCCTGTCCCAAAGTGCTGAGATTCTTTGGGTTGTGATGGTGGGTGTAAGTGATGCAGATGTCGAGATGTCGGTTGGCAACTGCAACGCGTGGGAATGCCCGCGGCCATGTTGACCACGCCATGCTCATGCGCTCCAACATGTGAGACCTCCCTGCGTGGCTCCACGATCGCTTCTTTCTCGAGTCTGGTGTGTTTTGACGTCAGGTCGCTACGGTTCCCAAGCCGACCGGAACGAGCTGGCGCACGAGGCTGGTTTGGGGACGGGCAGATGCTTGCAGGCTTGCAGTTGTGCTGCAAGATGCAGGCAGGTTTCGACTCCCTGATGACAGCGCAGCTGTTCGCCTACCTTCGAGCCATCTCGCCGACGCAAGTGCGCGAGGCTATGCTGGCTAATCAGTTGTTGCCAGCTGTCGCGACATGGCCTTCCGACCAGGGCGCAAACCGGCTTTTCCTGTACAAGAGTGCTCCAGAAGCAAGAACAAGCAGAAGCAAGCAAGTAGGAGGAATCGAAGGCGGGCATGCAGTGGTCATTGCACCCAAGGCATCGAGTATCTGGACTTGGACAGGGCGGCTCTAGAAGGGGAGGCGGGGCATCTCTGCTTGTGTTGATGTGCGCGACTGGACTTCTGGAAGGTTGGCGCCTGCATGTTTGATCTTAGCCGCGGTGTCGGTCTCGACTGCCGTGGAGAAGAGTTGCGGTTGGTTCTTCTCAGCTGACAATGCAAAAACTGCTCAGTTACGCTCCTTGTGGCTGCCTTGGACACCGTCGATGGCAACGATGCCCCCAGGCCTGGCCTGCAGCCAGCGCTCGAACTCGAACTCGTGTCCGCCGGGCCCACACGCGCGCGAACGTCGATGCTCCAGCCGCTATAGCCCGGTGTGGGTACAGGAGCTGTCTGATGAGATCAGGGATCTCAAGCGCCCGCCTTTTTACATCAACACATCCGAAAAATGATGGTGTTGCGCTACACCACACTTCACCATGCTTGTCTTGCAGCCTCTTCGTGCATCTATGCTGTTTCATCGGGGACCCTGAGTTAGACATCGAGGTTGCCAGCAAAGGCATCGACAATATACTGCGACATGGAAGGAAGTTTCCATATTCTATCTATTTCAATTGTCAGCAGCCGTGGGGTGAGCCACTGCTCACGGCGGAAGTATGCTTCAAAGCGGCTGCGCTTTCCCAGCTTGCAGGCTCATCACCAATGCAGGGTATCTGTGTAAGTCGATCGACGCGCAGCACGTCCTCGTCGTGATGAGGCCCCCAGCGACGCGAGGTTGCCACTTTCGCAAACCTCCGTGATTCTGAGAGGGCCTCTGGTGGTGCTGCTGTCCGCAAGGCAGCGGAGCTTGCAGGGAAGGCGCAGCAGCTTCGTGCTTGATAGGCTCGTCAACCGATGCAGTTGCAGGTGCACGGCGTAGTTTCCTGGATGGGCTTCGACGAGTGGCGACAGGGAGAGGCAGCCAAGGCGGAAACAGCGAAGTCTCCACATTGCAGGGGTGCGTCTGCCCCTGCCCCGCAGGCCAAGTACCACAACGGGGACCGGCCGGATCCCGGTCGGTCCACTGGGCGCCCCAGGAATGGCGATGTGGATCCACCTGAGCTTGAGCCGCCGGCGGCGGAGCCCTTGACGGAGCTCTCGGTGGAGGCCTCCGCCTCCGCCCCGTCTCCATCGCCCAAGGCCAGCGAGTCATCCTAGTTAGACCATTGCGTTGTTGAATTCCGGTGTGGGAGGAGACGCCGCAGATGGACCCCATAGACAGACAGGCGCCGACGGAGCTACCGACAGGCGGCGGTCCGGTGCTGAGAGATTCCGCTCCCTCCCGCGGTCGCGGTCGGACGCCAGGCGATCCGGATCCGGGGCTCGGCGAGGGCCTCCGGCGCTCCGTTGCTGGCATCTTCAGGTGGGTCGCGAGCGGTGGGTCAGGTAACGCCGTGTGTTGTTTTTGTGTAGATTTCCATTCGGTCAGAGCAGATGGGCTTCGTGGGGTTTCCCAGCAGCTTGCTTCATGCTAAGTGCAGCTAAGCAGCTAAGTCTTCATGCCAGACTGCACATCTCCAAGACTCCAAGACCATGGCAGAGCATGGCAGAGCAGGTCGTCGTAAATAGCAGCAGAGACTCTTGCCTGAAGCGACATGCATGAGCCAAAGTGTAATCTCTTTACTGCACACCTCACAGTGAAGTCCACAAACGCGGAGCGAGCAGCAAGTGGAGGCAGAAACCGAAGCTCCTGGCCGGGGCCGGCCTTCTGCCGGGGAGCTCGGTGAGCGCGGCGTCCTCGTTCCTGTTCCAGCTCCGGTGTGACGGAGTGAGGCTTCTGTGGATGCTTGCCCGGGCAGAAGTGGATTCGGCAATCTCCAGGCAGTTCCTGAATCACTCCTTGGAATGCGTCTTGCACCGGCCGTGTGCCAGGCTGTTCCGGAAACTCTTCCGGGGAAGGCCCTTGCTGCGGAGTGCTTGAGTTCGGTTAAGCTCTAATTAGAGCTCGGTAGGAGGTGTGTAGCGATTTCGTGTAAAGTCTGAGACAAGGGGAGATTTCGCAGTGGCCTCAGATAGTCGAAGGTAGCTTAAGGTTCTGTCGGCAAAATCTCCTCGGCTCTCTTCGGAGAGGGCGAAGTGGGCCCCCACAGACTCGGCCGAGAGCTCTGCCGGAGTCTTCGCCGGAGCTCCGAAGCTCCAGATCTGCTCGGGCTCGGGTGCTCCAAGAAACCTCCCTCCCCCCCCCCCCTTCGGATCTCTCGCTGCTGCTTTGATGCGCACGCCGTGCGAACGCACGCCGTGCGAACGTCGCGCGTCTTCCTGGCGCCATTTTCAGATCCGATAACTCGACAACCTAACACTACAGCCACACTCACTGCTGCGAGCATCGCCGCGTTACAGAGCTGCAAGGCACCTGCAAGGACGTAGCAAAGAGGCGAGGCTTCAAGAAGCTTTTCCCGCCATGGCGATCCTAGAAGCGCAGCGCCCGACCGATGGGACCGAAGGCTGCGGGAAGCGCGGTAGCTCCTGCAGTGCACGCGCGCGCGCGCATCTGGCCCGGAAGGCGTCCCTCAGGAGCTCGGTCCGTCCACCTCTCCTTGGTCTTTGGCTCTCGCAACTTGTCTTGACTGCAGTGGACAGTTCCTCAATTCCTCAATGCTCAAGTTAGTGTCCTTGAAACCCTAAGGCCTGCTTAGTGTGGCCAGCAATTTGCACAGTGCCGTGTGGCACCAAGATGACCATGCAGGCATAGTCTTGCACAGACCCTCCTCCGCTTGCTGAGGCTGTTTCTCACGTTCGAGACAGCCTACAGAGATGTTTTTCCATCATCCTGGTACGATGAGGTGGGGAACAACCGCTAGAGCTGCCGACTTCCCGGCTGCAGTCACCTGCTGTTACAGCTGCAGGCTCCTGTGGTGCCGACACTCGGGCCGTACGGCGTCGCGGATCCGCGAGGGGTGCGCTTCCCAGGTCAAGCCTACGCCAGACCGAAGCTCTGCCGTGATGACATTCGATGTCTCTGAGATCAAGCCCCTGGGGCTTATCCTCGGGCTTCTGGCTGTGGTCGTTGGCCAGGCCTGCTAGCTCATCCGTCTGTCGAAGCGGTGACTTCTACCAGCCCCAGATGTCACGGATCTGCGTGAGTTCTTCATGATCTGCTACCACTACTTGCGTCGCAGCTCTCACCTGGGTGGACTAAAGCGAGTCCAGCCGCAGGTGAGACAGCTGTGCTTGTGCTTGTCATCCAGCCCGAACCCTGTGAAGTGGCCAGGTGCGGGACTACGACTTCTCAGAGGGTCTATCGACGCACTTGTCCAATCCTGAAGGCCATCCTGCCCTTCCAAGAACATCGCCGCAAGATTGGTTCACCTTGTCAGGCTTCGTGCTTCTGGGCGGCTACCTGATAGGTCAGCCTTGTCCACAGCGATTCGGAATGGCCACTCCAACAGTGCCAGGAACGTGGATGCTCGGCTGGATGTTGCCTCCTCGGCATGTAGCGACGGCGCATGGGTCTCCAGCGTGCCTCCGGCATTGAGGCCATCTTCGTACTATTCTTTTGCTGGCGGCATCAGCTGGAAGCATGTGGCTGCACAGCTCTTACTGCAGGACCACCCTTATTGCGGCACAGTCACTCTGATGTTAGCGCAGTCCTTGCCCTGCGTCCAGAGTTTGGGACTGCTGCATGTGCTGCTTCGCTGCCTTGCAAGCCAATGCCCGTGCTTTCGGAGATCTCATGTGAGTTAGCTGTGGCCAACCTGCGAAATGCGGGGGAGGGGCAATTGTCAAGGCGCGGGTCGTTAAGCTCCTAAGATTCAGTCATCCAAGACGGCGGTTCAGCACTTTCGACACCGTGGGGTCAGGACATGATCCAGTGCTTCATGCACTTGGGCGAACACAAAGCTACCCAGCTGTTCCTGTTTCGAAAGCATTCACGTATCATGCACGTTTACCTCACTGATTGTGTGCTTGATCCGAGATTTCCACGTGGGTGTACCAGAACTCCCACAAGCCGCACCATCGCTTCACGAATCCACGCGCCTTGGAAGCGTCAGGTCCCGGTCGTCCGGTCGTGACGGACTGCTAGACGTTGAGGCAAAAACAGTGCGAGTAGTTTCAAGAGGGCAACGAGGGTAATCGGATATGGAAAGCCAGCGAGAGGAAGCTGAGGAGTTTGGCCCTTCGAGTCCCTTCCTTGTGTGGACTCCTAGGTGTCTTCGACGCCTTCGACGGCAGCTTGGTCGACACGATTTGCATGATCCTGATCCCTTTGGTCATCACCGCCCGCTTGGTTCCAGCCAATGTCTGGTCTTATCCTCACAGGCTTGCTGAAGGCCACGAAAAAACCGCCACTTGCGGCTTCCTCTGCTCAGGTCGTATATGACCTTTGGCACGCTCTATGCCAATTGGTCCGGTGCCTGGTATGAGACTCAGCGCAATCTGTGGAGGATACAGTTTTGCTTCACAGGCTCGTGCTGATCCACTCCGAGTTCGTTCATCCTTGGGACGGCCTCTTTCGGTGCCTTGGCGCTTTAGAAGTTCTAGGCCCGGAGCGCCGAGGGAGCTGAGCTCTGGGCGTCGGCCTAGGAAGCTGGGATTCGGAACGGCTGCTGACCACCACGTACATCACAGGCGCTGAACCGCCGCTGGTACCGTTTCGTCTGCTCAATGCTGTCCCAGGCTCTTTGTGTATAACTACGGCCATCTGTTCATGTACTGGGACAAGCTCTTGGGCACGTACAGGCTCGAAAGAAATGCAGTCGTGTGCCCCATTCTGACGACTGCATCAGCGGAGCTTGCGAGGGACCCGTGCAACCTGTGGGGGAAGCAGTTCAACAAGGACAGTGTCGGCACGCGTTCTGTGCATTCTGCAGAGCCCCCGAAATGACAGAGCGGTGCCCAGGACGTTTGACCTCTTGGCAGCCGATGGGCACTGACAAGCAGTGGCACGAACGTTTCACCTTGACGGGCACCTGGTAGCCGAGACAGAGGATGTTGAAGCAGGGTACACCGTGGCACCATCTTCGGTGCAGAAGCGCCCACGATTTTCACCGCCTTCAAGAGTGAGGCAACGAGGCTCAGGGAAGCTCTGGTGTACAGTGGATGTGGGCGAGTTGTGGCGATCTGTTCCCTCGCATGTCGCTCCGCCGCCACGAGAAAAGCTGTCTTGGGCAGCATGAGGTCAAGGTCTTCTGTTAGCGGGAGTGGGCAGCAACACGAAGAAGGGCCACACTTGCAACGCTTTTCTCCAACCATGACAACACGAGCCCCAGCACACCAGCGTTTTCTGCGCGATCCGCTCCACAACACCACGACCAGTCAACAGGGGGCTCGAATTCGCACGTGAGAATTTCTCGGGCCCTTCCCTAAAAGCACCACTGCCCAAGGGTCAAACCTTCACAGTTCCAGATCGCCTCGTGACTACAGCTTGGAATTGTTGCGTAGAGTCTCTTCCTTGAATTTCCTTGCTTCCATGTGTTAAAGATGTACTGCCTCTACGTTTACTTGGGCGTCTTGGCTGGTGGAGGGGACGCAATGCCTTGCATCTTGGCAGCTGGGCTTATGTTGGCCGATAGGCAAGGGAGAAGATTCCCAGGCCAGCGCTAGCGACACCTCACAGGCGAACACGGGGGATGAAGCACCCCGGCCGGAGGCTAGCATGAACTTTGGGGAAAGTCTAGCTGCGGAGCAGCTAGGGCCATGTCCAGGGATAGCACCGCTGTGGGCTCAACAGAGTGCCGGCAGGAAACGTCGCAGGAAGCGGAAATTACATTCAAGGCAGCACGCGGCACAGGGAACACGAGTGAGCGGCGGCATCAACGCTCACTTGGCATTTCTTCGACACGTATGAGCTCCACCACTGCTGTCAACAGAACTTTTCCATGCATTTCATTCAGCCGCGTCTTGATATTGATTGTAGCTGTAGATTCAATTTTCCCGGACTGTGCGGACGGATGCCGTGGAACTGCTGGGAGCAAGGGTGGGGCTACATGTCGGTTCGCAGTGTTTCTGCTCCCGTCCTGACCGTCCGCGCAGCTCAGGCCCAAGCAAGTCTTCCCCATTGCAAACCGCTCAATTTGGATCTTTACCTGCAGTGAGGCAATGAAGGTCTAAGGACACTGATGTCTAAGTCACGGAACTTGCTCCGGGCCGAAGTTCGCGCCGCATGAATGCGCTTGGCGACGCCATGGTCTCAGTCGGCAATCCGGCATTCAGCTGGAGTAAGGCAGCCCACAATACATCTGAGCCTGGTGTCGGTCTGGACTGTGAGGTGGCTTGCGATTCCTGCGATTCGTTCGCCACCCTATCAAGGGAATGCTCGAGTTTATGCCGGTCTGTGGATGCGTCAGCCACGAGCTGACAAAGCGTGATAACGGCTTGCAGCTCACAGCGCGCTTGCTATAGTGCTGAAGCTTTGAGGCTTTGGAGACGGTTCTCCAAAGATGTGCGTCTGCAGGAGTCTGGGCAGAGCGATGGCCTGAGCAGTGAGGCAGTGCACCAGCCGGCACGGCGCGCGCGCGCGCGCGACGGCACGGTCCTTCGCTTTCGCCATGAGGCCTCGGAAGCCTCAGAAGCCGCAGCGCGGTCGCCTCCGCCGTCGCCGCCCAGCGCCGGACAGCCCGCAGGGACCCCGCCAGTTCTAGGAGTCCCCGCGTCCCCACGCGGGGTTTGCAAGTCTTTTCAGGCTGGGAGCTGGCGGTGAAGCTTCTGGGAGAGATGCCCGAGGCATGCACCCCCGCCCCCCCCCCCCGCCCACTCGTGCTCGTGCCGTGCAGGCATCGCTTCAGCCCGACACCGTGAACTTCAACGTCTGCCCCTCCGCGATCGCCATCGCCTCTCGCTTTTTTTGGTGTGTGTTTGTCGTGGTCCGAGGCGACTCTCCTGGTGTGCGCCTCCGCTTCCGCTTGGAACACTGCAGTGGCCTTGCTCGAAGCCATGCCCAGCAAGGAGGCGGAAGCGTGGGCGGACTTCAGTCGCCGTGAG